GATGAATTTTAAGAGAAAAATATTTATAAAACTGACTAGTTGATTGCCATAAGATAGATCAAGAGAATCTTAAATGAAGTTTTTTCTAAAATAATTATAAATTATTTTCTCCTTGTTACATTATTCAAAATTAGAGTAGATTTTGAAAATTCAAATTTAAAATTAAGCTTCAAGAAGATCAATTTGAACAAGAACTTGAAGAAGAAGTTAATGAGTTCTTTGTGCACCATTGTATGTGAGTTGCCAATTTATTCAACCATATAAAAGAAAGAAAAATTGTACACAAAGAAAATTTGGACAAAGATTTGCTTGCCTTCGTTTGTGCAAAAACTATTACTAATAAAAATTTCAATGATAATGGCACACTAAAAAAAATATCCATATCTAAGAAAGAAAAATTAAGTTACTTGCAACATACAATTCAAATATTGGACATGATAAAAGTCGACTATGCTATTGCCCAAAAAGTACTTCAATGCATTCAAATAGATCTTTTTGCATCAAAACAAGAATAGACAATATTAGATTCCTAATTCAAAGCCATTTATAAAATTAATATATCAAAAAAATAATATTTTTTAGTTTTTGAATTAATTATTAGATATCAAGGATATTAATTTTACATGTATTTTATGATTAAGTAAAAACTATTGGTGGATATTAATTTTAAACAAATTGATTTTTATACATTCAATTGTATGTGATTACTTGTGTAATTGAAAAAATTTGTAATTGATATAATATCAATAATAGTGGAAAAAAAATTCAATAGAAATAATACATTGGATTTTTGAATATGTTTGTGTCTGTGTTATGCACAAACACAATATTGTCAAAGAGAAAATTTTAAATATAATAATTAGAACATAAAACATTGTAGATATAAAGAGTGGTGAAACTATTATGAAATTGATATATTTGTGCATGGCCTTTTGTCAAAAAAGAAAAAGATAAAAGGAGACAATTTTTAAAACAATTTCAAAACTTATAGGAATTCTTTGATTTTTCAAATTTCTCCAACATCCTAAAGATTCAAATAACTTGCATACGAACTTTTATTCAGCTTATACTTTTCAATAAAAGCTCAGATAAAAAATAAAATTTTTATTTTAATTTAAATAAAAATGTATGATTTTACATTAAAAAATTTAATCCAAAATATTATATCACAAACATTAAAATATATTTTGTAACAAGTGATATTCATAAGAACATTTCTCTATCAAATAAAGAAAAAGAACATGTGTTTTTGATTCTTAACTATATATATATATATATATATATATATTTGAAATTTGATCCAAACGTTCAAGATCACAATCCAATTTTTCAAAATCGTTTATTTACTTAAATTAAATCAAATTGTAGTCGTTTAAATGTTTTTGTCATATATATACGAAATTTAATTAATGCCTAATTGTAATCGATTTTACTCAATTTCTTCTACTCATTAAAATTTTAATGCTAATAATTATTTTTGAAAAATCAGTAAGTTAAAAAAAACTTATATATATATTTGTAATATGTTTGACGATTCTAAATGTTTTCATAAGAATGTTTTCATAAGAATGTTTTCAAGACTGGCCACTTCATGATTGTGACCCAATAAAGATGACATGGCATCAAACCGACATTTGTAAAGATATGAAATTGTTGCCATACTATCCATTCACCAAATTTATGGATCAATGAACATATCACAGATCAAAAAAATGAACAAGGAATTCTCAAGTTTTCTGTTAATATTGATTTTAAATAATTTGATGTTAAAAAAATATCTTTGAATGAGATGTTGATGTTTCACGGCTTTGGACAATTATTTTTAATTAGATTCACTTGTATCTAAAAATACCAATCATATTAATAAAGTTTTGAAAAATGGTTTTAATAGGATAGTGAAATATGTATATATATATATATATATATATATATTATAAAATAAAATTTCAAATAATTTAAAAATCAAACTTTGTATATATAATCTTGTTACATTATTTATACACTATCGATAAACAAATATATGACTGAAACCACATATTTTAAGATAAAAGACAACTAATAACCTTGCGTTTCCTAAATGCACTCAAAATTCTTTTCACTTAACTAAAATCAAAAGAGTGACCATGTAAAATAAAAATATATCTAATTTATAAAAATAAAAATATAAAAACAGATAAATGACTTAAAATCTAATAAAAAAAACCACTGAATTTGATTAAGAAATATTTTTGAAACATTTATTACCAGAATTACCCATTAGTCATGATAATATAATTAATCTTTAAATTTATTTAGTTGACTGACCTACAAGAGAAAAAGATAGTACAATTTCACTAAGAAAAATCTATTTTTATTCAATATTTGATTTTATTAAAAAAATTAATATACTGAAGTAAGTATGTATTATAATTAACTATTGACACCAATTCAAAAATAAAAGGATTCTTTATTCTATTAATTTTGATTATTTTTAAAATTTTCCCAAATTAAAATTATGTGTTAAATATATGTATATATGTTTATAAATAACTAATTATATTTATTTTTTATATTAAACTATGCTCTAATAATATCTTTAAATAATTAATTTTTATATAATTTTAAAAAATACCTAAATATTGTATTATACCTTATTTTTCTATTTTCTATTCTATAGCCAAAATGTTTAATTATATTGTATCTTAGTTGGTAGTAAAAGAAAATATCAAAGACATAATACTTTATTGTTGTTAATTCAAAAAAATAACTTCAGAATGTTTCAAAGCCATGTGAATTACATTATTTAGGAGAATGTTTTTATTAGACCTTTTATAAATTATTAGAAAAAAGTTGGTATCTTTTTAAGATTAATGTATAGCAATAAGACAATTAATTGTGAAAGTACCAATAATTCATGCATCAATCTAATTTGGTATATTTGTTTAAGCATAACAAAAAAAAAAAAAAAAAAAAAAAACAAAACAAAACAAAACAAAAACAAATTTACACTTGTATAATATTGAATTGAATTGATAAAAAAATATAAAAAAAGAAAAAACATGTACGAGATGTTAAAGCACCAAAATCAATATTTTCAACTACAACATTACTGTAAGTTCTTAAAGTAAGATTGAATACAAAAGATGCATTGACAAGCTTGAAGATGGCTTACATATGATAACTAATAAAAAGACTATGTATTCAAACCTTTAGTACATAGGAGTAGAAAAAAAGAAGATTATATATACATAAATATATATATATATATATATATATATATATATATATACTTAAAACAACTGTTGCCAAGTACAAAATGATTATGTAGATTTAAAAGAAGACTAGAGTATAAAGAAGATGTTTAATAATAAAAGCTGTAATATTACTTCTATACATCTTAATTGACAAGAAGGTCAAATAAAAAATTCTATTGATCCACAAGGTTTGTAAAAAAAAATATTGAAGTTATGAGATGGTTTTAAAATATTTAATAAATATAAATTAATTTTTTAAATATAGTTTGTTCATCACTGTGATTTATATCATGATACTTGTAGATTCAATCTACGCCTAATTATTTTATTTTTTTTTACATTGTTTTACAATAATATATTATCAAAATATCATGCTTTTACTTATTTCTATACATTTTTATTTATTTAAGTGACAGAGGTGTACATAATATATATATATATATATATATAATATTATCATGATTCAGATAAAATCATAACTTTATATTAATATCTTCTATATAAGAACTTAGGCATTGCCAAATATAGTTAATAATTATCTCAATTATGTTAAAGTTAACAAAAAATATTAGAAATTAGCATAGAATTCATTAAAAAACTAATTTAAAAAATGTATATATGGTACAAAATAAAGGTGATTAATCTTTGTTGAAGCTGTATAGACAAGAATAACAATTGATATTGCTCAATCTGTATGTATAGAAACAATCTTGCATTAGATTTGAGTGTGCAATTTGATACTTACCATTTGAATATAAACAACAAAATTTATACATTTGTTAATACAAGACTATCTACACCTACAACGATATATTAAAAAAAAATTAACTTATTGATATTTCAATAGGATTATTGTCTACTCTTTATTAATGTTTTAAATATATCTATAAAAGTGGATGTAATGTAAATGCTTTTTTTTTTTTTTTGAAAGAATTCTTGTTAAAAGTAAAGTAATGCAATCTTCAGTGGAGTCCATTGGATTTACACCAACTTTATTTGCAAAGTTCTATTAATGGTTATAAACTATGATCAGACAACACAATAGAAAAATAATAGATACAAAAGAAATCCAACATTGCAGAACAAACAATGACATCTAAACAATAGTGTTTCAAATTATGACATAATTAAAAAAGAGGAATGTTAAATAGACCCAAACTTTTACTAAATTAACCCACCCATCCTAACCATCCTAACTATCATGAATGAACAAAAAAAAAAAAAAAAAAAAAAAAAACTTAACATTCATTTCTCCACTACTAGATCCATATTCTTCATCATGGGTAGATCAATTTACTAAAAGCCAAGGCCTATTTAACATTCTCTTTAAAAAAGACCAAATCAATAATCAAAGTTGCCCATTATTATGCACTCTCTCTTCCTCCAACACAATCCTTGGTCAATCTGAGGTAAAGGACTTTCTGCAACAACCAAAGCTTTTTGCAACACTTCCACGAACCTAAAGCTTTCCCTTGTCCCAAGAAAAAAATAAAATAATAAAATACTAAAATAATAATAATAATAATAATAATAACAATAACATACAGCAATTCCTTGAGCAAACAATGGGTCCCAGTCACAAGGACAACTCAGCAGTGTCAGTAACCCACCTCACTCATAACCCAACACGTGGCACAACGCCTGGAACGACCGCGTGCGCAATTATACACGCGGTTGCAGACGTGGCATCCTAGTCAGCACCGCTGCTTCTGCGGCGTCGCACGAGGGGGAAGCGGCAGCGGAAAACTGAGAAGAAATTCGCTGGTGGTGTCGTCCAATTGGGTCCAGAATCGAGCAGATTGACAGTAGCATCAGCAGCCCACCATAGCAGATTCGCTACAGGGCGTCGTCATCGTCGTCGCAGTGAGGTTGGAATCAGCTTGCAGGTCGCCCCCCCCAGGACGCTTTCCAAATGGAAAAAAGGATCGGTGTGTGTGTGTGTTTGTGCGAAGTCAAGCGCTAGTCTTGGTTTTCTCCGCCTGCTAGAAACGACACACGATGGGATATGTCGTGGCTCCAGCGGGTTGAATGGAAAGTGGTCACGAGGGTGGGGTGCTGAGGCCCTCCTGCATGCCGCTTGCCCCCAGGTCATCAGGTCACGGAGACCCAGTAAGACGCGACTCGGCTGCAGGGCGGTGGAATCTCCCCGGGATTGCTAGTGTTTTGTTTTGTAATTTTGTTTTTCTTGCTTGTTGGTGCCCGAGTTGCTGACGCGGTTCAGTTTACCGCGCACAATTCGTATATTGGCCGCTCCAAGTTTTTACCTCCAGAAGTGGGTTCTGTCAATGATGGTCCTAGATACGGACCCAACCGAGCTCCGAGGCCACTTCTTCTTGTGGCCGTGCCACCGCGCAAGATTGGCGATGGAGTCGGACTCTGAGGACTCCATACCAGCCGCACTGTTCATTGCCAGTGCTATAAGCGTGCTGTAAAAATCACTGTTTGTTTTGTTTTATAGGAGCTAGGATTGGTTATCCATTGAAGAAAGAATAGTGGGTGTATCTCCCAGAAGGAATCCTTTTTTATAAGGAAGGTTCTTTCTATTCGGTTCTTGTTTAAAGTAGATGTTCAACCCAAATTGTGGCGTCTAGTAAGCTTCTCCAAAATGAACAGAGTCCTGGGAATTTGCACCGATTGTAGATCTCTTGGAAACCAAACTCTAGCTTAATTTAGACTGGCACCATGAGATAAAATCCAAATGCAGACACGTCGGAGGTGACCTTATGAATTTATTATTAACCATGTTCATCTCGCAACCTGTCTTGATTTGCCATGCCACCTTGTGTCGGAGATTCTTCATTCACAATTCGATGAATTGTACAGAATTACACAGAATTCATTGGCTCCTTTGCATACCATTGGGTTTCATTTGCAGGTTTCTCAACCAGGTAAGAAGTGATCTTACGCAGGTGCGGGAGGATAGGGCAAGTTATGACTGGAATCATCCTTAATCCACGCTGGCCGTTGCGAATATTTTTACTTCTGCTTGCAAGCAGAGTAACATAGAGGTGAACTGTTCGGAGCACGCAGTTCCGTAGATTCAGAGGAAGTAACCGAGAGTACGATGCGAAGAGGCGAGAAATGGTGGAATCATTCAAATGTCTTGGCTAAGGAGGACTCGAGCTCTGCAGGAACTAACCAGTTGGAACATCACACGCATCGAGCGGTAAGGTCATAAATTCATCTCAGAATAACCCTCCATGGATTTGAATTGTCTAGACTTCTTGTGCTAGTGCGCAGACTTTTCTTTATTGGGCAAAATTCAAATGTTCCTCTGGGAGGGTGGTGGGTCTGTGCAGATGCTCGTCTGCAGAGTGAGTGAGTGAGACTGAGGAAGAGAGAGAGAGTTGAGAGTTTGAGTTAGTTTCGAGGATCCCTAGGCCAGACTGTTTCCTGGATAGTCTTGAATGCTTCACTCGTTTCCCGGACTTCAGATATAAATCATTCATCGCGTGCAGCTGAGGCTGTATGTCACTAGAAACGTTTCTTCTTAATCTTTGGTTTCTTCGTCTAGCTTGTTACACACTGTCCACAACAACAGGTAAAGCAATGGCGTTTGAGAGTTTGGTTTTCTTGTAGCAAGCTTGCATCCAGATTCTAGAACTAGGAGCATCCTTTTCCCGAGGGATGTGATCAGTCACAGCGAAGTTTTGCAGCCTTAATGCCAGACCTGCACTGCTTTTCGTGGTGGACTTTGGACTGTGTTTGATTTGCTGAGGACTGTGAGCGTGTGTACGTCTGTGGAGGTGGTTACCAGGATATCATTGAAAGCACTGCCCGAATCGTGATCGCGATCTCGTTTCATCGACCAAGTGCGGTACGATTAGTTTTCCTTGGTTGCCATGCTCTTGGATGTTGTGCTAGGTCTGCGGGCGCGGCTGCCTTGTGTGTAGAATTCTCTATATTCGGCGGGCAGGCTTTACCACGCGGGGTGGTATTTGTGCCCAACAGTGGAGAACATAGTCAGTGAGCTCGAAATGGCAGTGAAGTTGCTGGGTTCAACTTTCAAGGTAGAATGCCGTGAACAAGGGTCAGCGCGGTAACTTAGTGCTGGCCAATCTGTGCAAACATACAATACGTGAGAGTGTTTTTGTGTTAGTGAGGGCTATGATTTCGGGATTCGTTTAAATATTTGCATCGTGGTCCCTGATAATTTTGGTCCGCGTTAAAAGGACCTTAGAGGAGGATATTGAAACTTCAGATGAGTATGTCGTGTGAACTTTGAAGGAAATTAGGTGGAGTCAGCATAATGAGTAAACTGCAGCAACTGCAGAGTATACCATGAGCACGAAATAATCTACAAGAAACCATTTACCTTTCTTGTACCTTTGTGTGGCTCCAGCCGGCCATGGTAGTCATAATTTGTTTGTTTCTACTAAAGACTTGCAAATCCACGGTTAAAATTAAAAATCTGTGTCGCGGTGGGCGTAGCAGAGCGCTCATACATTTGTATGCTGGTTGATGGATACGCTGACATTCTGCAAAGTTCCTCAACTGTGCACTAAGTGATAATTGGGATCGTTTTGTGCAGCAGAATCGTAGAAGCAAGTCTTTAGCTGTGGTAGGCTTGCGGATGTATTTTCAGAGTGATCAGAATGGTACCCACTCAAACCCCTTCATACACTCCTCCATGCGTGATCATATGCATATAGATACCTTTATTTCCGTTTCATATTTCCCGCATCATAAGCTCACAAGGGTCGAGAATTTTCAACAAGGGCCCCTGTCTACAACATTCTCCATGTTCAATTGTCCTCACAGAGCTCTGGATAATATCTAGGTGTTGAGTTTTTTCGTCTGATGACGTTCACTTTGTCTAGAAACTGATCATGGGCTAGGGTCTGATATCAGGTCCACAACGAACGAGAAAGACCTGCCGAGGCTAGGAACCTTGCGTATGCACCAAAATGTCGATCTGGAGGGTGCTCTGAACGCGGCAAGCGGCGGACTCTGGAAGATGCTCTTGTCCAAGTCGACGATCTGTCTGATCAACTGGGCTCCTCCGGCGCATTCTATGGGGTGAGTGGTGACAATATCAGCTCATCGTTCAGTCTTTTTTAACGCGTTAGTTATTTTGACTCGGCAATTGAATTTTTACGCTGGGCAATTTTGAGTGCATCATTCCCCATGGAGTCTCGAACAGTTTGTACAGAAACATTAGGGATACATCTTTACCATGGACATTGTGAGGTGTTTCTTCAACCACCTAACAGAGGACGCTTGTGTGGCTTCCTTCCTTCCAAGGTCTTTGATGGGCATGACGGCGCTGATGCAGCCTTGTACGCGAAAGAGCATCTGTTGTCTCTCCTTCTTCAGGATCCACTATTTTCTACTTCGGTAGAGAAGGCTGTGAAGAAAGTGTTTCTAAGGTTAGATAGGGATTTCAAGGAAGCTTGTCAACGGGATAGCAGCCTCGACTCGGGAACTACTGCCCTCATCGGTCTCTTACAATCCAGATATCTTTCTTTCGGCGAAGTAGTGTAGGAAACTGTGGCCTGATGGGTGAAGGGGTTATTGCCGTATTGAGCCTACTCAAAGCTTCTCATGTCTGATCAACCTCAGTAGAAGCTTTGAGCCTATCTGGTTTGGTCTATGAGGCTGCTTTCCTCATAAAGTTCATGTATTGATCTTTCTGGACTGCTATTTTCTTTGGTTAGTTATGAAGCAGTAGATTTCATGTACGTATTGCTCATGTCTTTACTTTTCTCCGAGCCTGACTATCGCTTTTGGGTCACCATCTTCATCGAAGGAAGCATGTTGAAAATCATGAACTTGGAAACGTTTTGGGGATTTTCAGGCACTTGCTGGTGGCGAACGCCGGCGACTGTCGCGCAGTCTTGTGTCGAAGGGGCCTGGCGATTGAATTGTCTGATGATCATACTCCTCTTTCCGAAGGTGAGAGAAAGCGCATTGAGTCAGCAGGGGGCACTGTAACTGAGACGGAGGCCGTGGGATACGTGAACGGGCAGTTGTCCGTGGCTCGCTCAATTGGAGACTGGTTTTACGACGGCTTAAAGGGCCTTAAGGGCCACTGTGAAACTGGGCCTGTGATCGCAGAGCCCGAGATCCGGGTCTATGAACTTTCTGAAGAGGATGAGTTCTTACTCTTGGGATGTGATGGATTGTGGAACAAGATCTCTAGTCAAACCGCCGTCCAATTTGCACGCAACCAGTTGATGAAGCACAATGACCCAAAGCGCTGCTCCGAAGCTCTAGTCCAGGAGGCACTGATGTTGGAAGCAGATGACAATGTCACCGTTATCACTGTCTGTTTTCAAACTAAGGCTCCCCCAGACATCAGTGCTGAAACACCGAGGGAGCCAGCAAAGATTAGATTCAACTACAGTCGTATGGAGCATTTGGTAAAGAAATAGTTTCATGCAGACTTCGGCGTTCATTCTGACCTTTTCGAGTTTGCGTGATTGGTTTCTGTGGACGATTCATTCATTTAGGAGCAGACGTTTCTGGAGAAATGTGATATAATATGTTATAGATGACGACCATCGGATCATTTAGGATCCCTGTTGGGCTTTTGGGTTGGAACGCTGGTGTCTTAGCTGCGGACATGAGAAAGCTTTTACTTGTAAGCACTCATGGAGAAACATTTTATGCTCCCATCATGGACTCGGTATTTTGGGCTTGTATTGTCACATTCTAGGGGTCGATTCTGCCCCTTCAAATTACCTGGACCGAACTTGACAGCAGGAAGAAGACAAGCTTTTGCCTCCTAATGGCAGGGGATTCATTTGTAACCTTGCCAGGAATTTTATACCCTCATCCAGATTCTGCATACGATTCATCGAAAGGCCTCGATTTCCCTGCATGGTTGTGCAGATTCAGTGTGCTAAACCTCACCACAAACTTTGTCGGCGTACAGGAATGATTTCAGGATTTAGTTTATTTTTCGTTTTTTGGTTACTTTTTGTGCAGCCGGATTACCGTTTGACAGATAGATTGTGAGACAGGTCTTCCATCAATTAGGGATTATAGCCATGATTCTCACATCAATATAGATAACTAGGATCAGATGTGACATGTAGTGGAGTTCAACCTTTCGCCAAATATTTCGAGGTATAGTAGTGCGAGGTATGTATATTGCAGAGCTCATCTGTGCGCTTCTTGGAGCTTGTTCATACTATGTTACCTCCTGTGCAGTGCATCTCAAAGCAGTGTATTTCAGCAAGTCTTGCTGATAGAGTTGATTAATATGTTAGATTTTTCTTCATACATGCCTCACTGCTTGGAACTTATATAATCTGTGGTCGAAAAACCACATGATCCCTTCTTACGCGAACCGCGACTTGGGATCATGAGAACGACCTAATTCGATGGTATTGACCATTAAGTGGGTCATCAATATCAGCAATGAACATTGCGCTCTTTATTGATACTGAGGCCATGGTTAGGACCCCTCCTCAACTGGCCCAACTGGAACTCTGAACCTACCATGGAGTCGCTTTTGAGAATGCGGCAGCTTGTCCTTGCGCAGAATTTGTTGCCTTCGTTTTTTTTTGTTAGTTTGTTCGTTTATCACACCAAGTTCCGTTTTCACAACGTGGGCATGTCGCAATAAGTGCGAGTATGAGCAACCACACATTCGAGACGGTTCGTCAAGGCTGTCGGAACCTTCTACGCCAAATAAAACGATTTGCAATATGGTCACCACAGGTGCACCCCTTGGATAATGCACTGCTACATACAAGCACACGCCATGGCACAATTTTCTGATAAAAACCAGATCTGAGTCAGGAGGGGAGGTACGATTTTCTCCGACTTGTCCACTTGTATTCTCCTCCAGCTGACGTGGATCCAAATCCCAGGTATAAAATCATGTGGGCCCATCCGAATCAACGGATGGTCGACGACAGAAGTCAACTCCTTGTGGAACAAGTCAGCCTCCAAGGATTAGGTGAGCCCAACTCGGATCCCAAAAGAACACAAACAGAAAAAGAAAAGTCATTTAAAAAAAACACCCCGCAGAAAAGTACAAGAGGTGACCAGCCGCAACTGCTAAGGGGGCGGACCAGGATTAGAAGCAACTGCCACGTGCCGCACGAGCCAGTTCTTCGCCACGTGGAAGGAAGGAAGTGATAAAAGTAAAAGGCATATATTCAAAAAGTTCCAGAAATTGGACCCTTGTTACAGGAAAGGGCCCTCAGGAACAACGAACGAGGTTCTTTTTTTTCGTTGGGGATGGGAATAGAGATGAGAATTGAGATGGGGACCGGGTTGGGGGGGGGGGGGAGAGACTGCAAGGGATTTTCAGATTTCCACTTTGCCCTTCCCGTGCTCTGCTGCTGCGTCGCTTGTGCCCCGAATTGCCCACAGAGTGTGACCCCGTCGCTAACGCGTCTCGGATTGTGGATGCGTCTCGTGAATGCAACTTGGGTTGTTAGAATCGCCCGCATTTTCCAATCCACCCTCGCCTTGCCGTTGGTTTGTTCGCATCTAGGTTGCCTCCCTGCCTACCCGCGATCGTATTGGTGTCGTTGAGAGTTATCTCGGTTGCTGATTATTGTGCGCGAAAGAACTTGGAATTGGCGTGTGCTCTGTTTGACTTCGCTTTGTTGATTCTTATCTGCGTCGGTTAGAGGTGGTTTGAAGCTCCCCGTTTTTGTTCTTCGTAAGCCGCGCTGGTTTGGAAGAATTGTTTATCAGTGTAGTCCAGACTCGCCGGATTATTGAGCTGCATACGGAGTATCTGCAGTGAAGTGCTCACTCTTCACCGTTATTGCTTAAGCTTTCATCTTCACGCGTACATCGCCAGTGCTCCTAGGGTTTTTCATTGTAATCTAGAGATTTGGAGTGACCGCCGGTTTTGGGTTTTATGGTTCTTGGTCGATCATTAACAGCTTCTTATTGATGTGTTTGGTTTGATCCTGAGCAGGTTCCAGGGCTTGACTAGATTCTTCGATCTCTGCATCTGTTCTCAAAATGCCAGAACCTTCTGTGAACGAAGACACTAAGGTTAGAGAAAAGTCCCTGAAACGTATGGCTTCTCCGACCTGCGGGTCCTCTCCTTCGTACGCGAGGTGTTCAGACTGTCCGGGGAGAAACAGAACGCCCATGCTTCACGCTGATCATTGTTCATCTGATAATGTAATGCTCAACGAATCTGGTGTGGAATCGGAAGTCAAAGCAGAGGTCGTTCTTAACAAAGCTCCTCAAAATCAAGCCATTGAGTAAGTTTTCCCTACCGCACTGTCATGCCACGAGTGCTTAATCAACTGTCATGCACTGGGAAGTCTCGATATGTCATAGAAAAATCCTCGTACTTGTCCAAGTATTACGAGCGAGTTATCTTAGTAATCACATTCTGGTTGTCAAGTAACCAGCCGAGTCTTGCTTACTAGTTGATTTAGAAGCTAAATCATTGGCAGATATCTTCGATTTTTTTATTTTTTTTGTTTTCCTTTAATAGCATGATGGGTATGTGTGTTTTTGTTTGTTTGCGACTAGGTTGTATGTTTCAAAACATCAGAATTTCTCTCGGTGAATCCTCAGGGACTGTAGCTCAAATTTGCAGAGGCTCCTCTTTATCAATTATCAGTCATCAATGCGAGGTTGCGTTTAGCGGTAGGCGTGTGTAACATTTACACATAATATGTTCGAGAACACCCATGTGATCAAGTTTTGTATTATGGGTTATCAATATACTTTTCTGTAGAACCAGCTCATGTAGAGCTTCTCTTCCATCCCGTCCAGGAATGGTACAATGTACGAGAAATTTTTCTTAGTTTAAATTCTTGTTTAAACTAGTGAAACGTCAACCAGTGAGATTTTTATTTAAATTCAAGCTCCACCAAATGATCCATCAGGAAACTAGCAGGTAGTAGTAAAATATAATTATTTTGTTTTATTTTATTGTACTCTTATTCAATGTGCCTTAATAATTCCCCATCATTTTGAGAATGTGAACATGCGATTTTCCAGTATATTGTTTTTAGTACTTTTGTAATATTCCGCATATTATTTAGGATCTGTTGATATTCCTGTATGTAGGAACATGTTTTCAACACATAGGACGCTGGGCTCTTGTACTGGAATTTCGTTCCTTGCACGTGAAAATAGAAGAGAATAATTCAAAACATGCTCGCTTCCCGGTCATCCTCTTAAGGACATAGCAGTAGACTCAGAAAGTTTCTCCCTGTCCTAGGTGTTGTTGCATGGAATAATATATTATCGCTAACACAGGGAAGTCCAGTATTGATTACGACAAGGTATCGTTTGGGAAATCTGTACTTGACTGCCCTATATGAGTTATTCATGTCACTTTCGTGCAGCCGGAATTCCACACTTTATGTCGTTCTAGGTTGTTCGTATTGTTACTTTACATGAACTTTTAAGCAGTGAGGCTTGCTCTATGTGTGTGACCCACCCCGACGCTTGAAATAGTCTCTATAAGAAGCGTCTCACATGATAGTATTGAAAGGAAGAAACTATAATACAGGACGGTATTGAATTCTCTTTTGTTTCTGAGAGCCTCAAGGACATATTATTCATTCTGTTGTGCCTTCCACTCTTCAGAGTCAGTCGGTCTTAACGATTGTTTTACGAAGTCTTACAGTAGCTCATCGAGGGTAATAATGCCACGGATGAGGTTCAGTAGCGTTAAGGTATAGTTCGTTTTAATATATGTGCGAACTTTCTTTTTGTGGACATTTGATGTATTGTTTTGACGCGCTGCTAGTTAAGAATCTAGCAAATCATTGACATACACGTCCGTCGTGGAAACGGTGTTGTGGTCAATCGAATCAAAAATTTGATTTATTAGCCCCTATTCGCTGTGTAAGCCAACCATGTTGATGGAAGTCATGGGAACTGTCGGGGGTGCAGATCTTCACCTAGCTGCAGCTTTCGACAACAATTTGAAGTGGGCACGATTTCCCAATTTAAAGATTCGAAAGTGAAAGACTGTGAAGAGGCGCCATCACCCTCCGACACTGCTTCATGCGTCGCCGATCCTTCCGTGTTTGACTCGACCCCCGACATCAGAAATGCCCTTACTTTGAGTCCTCGCAAGAGGCCTCGCAACTATTTTACGTCCGAAGTTAGTGTCGGAACTGTAATTAACTACACCCTCCTTTCGCATGCTCTTCTCACTTGGTGTGACATTGAACTTCGTATATTTCATGCAAATAGTTGCGTGTGCTTAGTCTTTGTTTTGCACGAGTAGCTGACCTGATTACTGTCCAACGAACGTATTTGAGAGGCTGCAGCTGGAAGGTGGACTCTCCAACCAGCGTCAGTTAATTGACGTTAGTTTCCATTTATGAAATGCTTTATCCTGCATTTTAGATTCTGACATAGCATGATGTAACGGTTCACAGAAGGAATTGAAAAGGATTGGGGAACTGCCAGAGCAACCAGAATCTTCTAAAGCCCGAGTAATTAACCACCTGCTCTGCGCACAATCTTACGCCACGACAAGTCCCGACATTTCTTATTCGCCCAGCTTTTCAATCGACCTTGATTCCGATTCACCTGGTGGGATAAGATCCGATTTTGTAGAATTCTACGATATTGGGTAGGTTTGGAGAGGAACTCGCTATCACCAGTGACATCTTTTACAACTCGTGTGTTTCGGGTCCGTATTACCGACTAGCTGGTCACTTTTTATCGAGCAGAGCAAGCAGCCTTCCTTGGCTACGATTCAACGACTGCTGCGACTCGACAGACTGGCGCTGGGAGAACTGCTGAAGTGGTACAATGCCAACATTATTTTCTAGAGTGAGGAAGCCATTATATTATCCTGTCCGTGTATTCTAACTATGTTAAGGCTATTTGCTTTGAGATCCCAGGGGCATGTCGCGAATTCTGCATAGAATGTCTTGTATGTGCATTGGTGGTATATAGTAGTTGCCGCTCCGACACCAAAACCCGCTTCAATAATTTGGTTTCTCAAGTATTTGTCAGAAATTTTCAGGTGATTAGTAGTAGAGTACATATATATGTTTCCCATTTTCTTGTTTTCCTACTATAAGTGAACCAAGAAAGGGTAAAAGATGCTATGGTCTTGGAACGTTGTCGTGCCTAAGAAGACATTCTTTATTCTAATGATAATTGATACACATTTTACATTCATTTCAAAGAATTTTTTTTCGATCTTTTAATGTTTTTTTCCGTAAAATATTCGGCTATCTGTTGCTACCGTTTTTGTGAAAAAATGTTCTTTATAACTACATTTATCGAAAGAATTACAAATTACTACCAGGTAACAATTTACAAATTGTATATGTTAAGAATTGCTAAGAAATAGTTATATGTTTTAGCTAGTTTGTGTGAGAATGATAAAAAGAAAATTGAATGTAGGAAACCCAAAAAAACTTCCTGGTAATCTTCTATATTAACGAGGTCCACTAGAGAATTACGATTGATTACTAATTTTTCCCCGTCACAAAGACTATCCATTTGCATGTATTCATATCCAATTTATATCTAAACCCCTTCAACCTTTCTGACAGTTACAGTCTATCTTTACAACAACCATCTTCACTTCATTAGAATATTGATTAAAATCAATACATATTATGCGAGATGAAATCCTCACATCATTATATGAGCATTTAATTTTATAACAAATATATATAATTTTTTACCTCAGTAATTCAGGAAGAGTTGAGAGGAAAGAGAAAACTTCCAAACGCAACGTGTGTGCTCCTGACCTGAGAAGCTAAGCCTTGTCTCACTGACGCCTTTCATTGAATGAACGATTACCAATGCCGGCCAACCCAAAAAAATTCATGCCGTGGACTTAAAAGCCGTTTTACCCATTCAACAATTGCTCAGTCGGAAAGGAAGCTGCATTCAAAAGAATGAACAATACACACAAATTTGAAGCTCTGTGTACCTGGCAAAGGATGATGAGCTACAAAGCCTGAAGATGAGCACCAGGGTAGTTTACAGAGCGCGGGGTTTGGTGCAAATCTGAAGCTGGAGCCTGCAATATGAAGCACTCTGGGATGAATGTCCTGTCAGATCTTGTTACAGTAACATCAAGTCCGCTACAGGTTGTTACCATCTCCGGAAATCCCACTTCCTGGACGTACTTGTAGCCATCGCATTCCTCCAACAAGGCAGCAACTGTTGTAGAAACGGATCGAAACATAACTGCAACAATGCCGCAATCGCAGGTCTTTCTGTTGTTGACTACTGTGACTATGTTCACCGCCAGCATGGGGTCTTCCTCAATGGGTTTCTCAAGAGGGCTTTCTGCCTGCCTTGAGCGAGAGGTCGAAATTCCATTCTAACTCGAATGCAACGGTAGAGCACATTGGTTCCGAGATGGACTACAACGACGTGGATTACCTTTCCAATGAGCTTGAGCAGCAAAATCTAGAGATTCTCGGCAATGAAAAAGGCTCGGTGCACAAAATGGAAGATATTTATCCTGGCAAGATGGGCAATCCGAAAAGCCATGAGAATCGTGTGATGTACACTGGGAAGAAGACGCTATATCTCCGGTAAATGTATTCCTTGCTCTAATTGGTACGTCCTTGTTCGAATTTTTAAGCGTGGAAACCCTACGAAACCTCTCAATTCACAAAACGTTGCGTTGATTCATGGTTGGGGGAAAAGAACATTCACAAGCCTCGAGTGGTGACCTGCAATCGACCGAACCCCAATCCTTTACAGGAGATAAACTGTGAAATTTGTTCGCAGCAAGCAGAGGTTGCCAATTGACGCACTGCGATACCAACATAGCAAATCCAGAAACATCGTGCTCATGCCGTTTTTTCGGAGGAAGATCGCCAGCTGGCAGCTAGAGATTTTCTGCAACGCTATGTTCGAGCCTTTCTGGCCAAAGATGCGATCACGGTTGAACTGGTCTGACAACCGGCAGTTTGAGCCCCAAATCCTGCAACTGGTAGAGTACGTGAAGCGGTCGGTTCACGAGTGTTCTGATAGACTTTGGCATGGCGTGGTCATCAACCCCCAGAAGCGGTAACGCACATGCGCAGTGATAGGAAACAGCGGCATTCTATTGAACTCTTCCTACGGAGCTTCCATTGACGCACACGAGATGGTGATGCGAATTAACAACGCCTGAACAGTGGGATTCGAGACTTCAGTGGGGCGGACGACAACCATCTCATTCATGAACAGCCACATACTGCGTCCTTGTGCAAAACGTAGCCAATGCCGGAGACATCCCTACGGCGCCAACGTAAGATCATGCCCCCATCTACACACCAAACCACAAATCGTCTCAAATTCCTCAACACCCAGACAATGATCTACAAAAATTCTACTCCAAGACGCTAACCCTAACATCAAGACCTTACAGGTACCGATCATCACGTACATCTGCGCGCCGTAGCATTTCATGCCCATTGCATTTTGCAGCTCAGAGCACTCTGCGCCCCTGCTGGTGACAGCCCCGCGCTTCGACAACGATTGCAACAAGATTGCGAAATGGTAATCCTTCATCGTCATACTTGCACTGAAAATCTAAGACGAGTTAAACGAAGAGAGTAAAATGCTCAAGTTAGCGGTACACATTTACAGGTACTCCGTGAAACTGTTTAGCAAGAGATAAACATGAAGCCCGAGTGGTGGACAACGCTGCGCAATCCGACTCGCCAGTTCCATTACTCCACGGGATTACAAGGCGTGGTGATGGCGCTAGGGTTGAGCGAAAGCGTCCGCATCTACGGATTCGGAAAAGCTGCGAGGCTGAAGCACCACTACTTCTCGCAGCATCACGAGGAGCTCAAGGAGGTCCACGACTACAATGCCGAGTACGAATTCTACAGCGATCTAGAGCAGCGCAACATCGACGAAATGCCGTTCTTCAAAGCTGCCAGCATTACGCAGCTCCCAAGCTTCCGAATCATGGCGTGATCGGTTGAATCTGCGCAGTTCTGGAAGGTTTCAGATATTAAGTGTGGTTTAAGAATCAGCAGGAAGTCCTCAGCGCCGCCGATTTCGGCAACAATGACGAAGGCGACGCCATCGCGGGCACGATCTCGGCAATGGCATCGTCCCCGAAAGGACCCTGGAAACCAGAGCGACAAGGAAATTAGGGTCTTCCATTTTAATCTCGGAAAGGAACAATAATATTATAAATTATAATAAAACTCAAAAGAAAAATAACTAAATCAGAATAAAAATATTATAAATCCCAACAAATTCCTTGTCAAATTCTAATCAAATCCTGTAGTAAATTCAAAACCTCAATTACTAATAATTTAACAATTGATCTTAATTTAAATTTTTTATAATTCTTAATTTTTTTAGTTGAAAATAAATACAACAAATTTGAAGAGGATCAAACTTATCAACTTATCAACAAAAAGGCTCATAATAGGCTTCTTCTTCCAATCTTGATGCTAATCTTTTAACACCAATGTATCTCTTTTGCACCATTCAATTGCTCTAAAAAAATTTACAATTCTTAGAAATTAAGTTTGCTACTAATTCATCAAACTTCACCTTAATCCAAGTGGCAAATTGTTGCAAATCTTAGAAAACCTTACTAGCCTTCAAAATCCACTTTTTGATATCCTAATCTACTTAAATTTTAATGACTTTTACTTTAACAATTTGATCAAGCTCAAATTTACAACATTGGTAGATTTTCACTTATAGATCTATTACAAATCTCACAAGAATCAAAGTCACCTCAAAAAAACCATGACTTTACAAAGCTCTTACAAAGTTGTTACAAACATAAATTACCTACAACTAATGCTCAAAAAGTTCACTTTACTCTACTCTCAAATTCTACTCTCCAATCAACAAAAAAACCTCAAAGTCACCTTAGGTCTGTAGGTTTGTTTTTAGAGGCTTGATTTCAACCTTGATTATCAATAGGTTATCTTTGGATATCTTCTTATAGCTTTTAAAGGTAATATTTGTCAAAAACTATTCTTAATTCTTTCCGTAAAATGTCTATATTATTATTTTTTTATTTTTTTTTTAATCCACTTTATTTTTGTCTTATTTATAGTCCTATAAAAAGTATAAGTTTTTTATACAAAAAAATAGCATTAGCACTTGTTAGTTTTACTACCTTCTTAACTAATATCTATATTTATAAGGTAATTTGTCACAACATTTTGAAAGAAGATATTTATAATTTTCTACTAATGGTAAGATATTTTTATAGAAGATCTTATTTCAAAATATAGTAGCAAATTACTTTGGAAATATAGATGATAAGATATTTAAAATTTACTGCAAAATTATTTATAAAAATCTTAATTTAATTATGCATTTATATATATATATATATATATATATATATATATATATCATTTTATCTTGGTTTAATAATTTTATACATGTTTAATTGAAACCAATAATTAATTAAATATATTTTTTAAAATAATAAAAATATATATATGTATGTGTGTGTGTGTGTGTGTGTGTGTATATATATATATATATATATATATATACTATATTTATTATTTGTAAAAGATGTTTGAAGGATTTAAGACTTTGAAAATCTTCTAGTATATATAAAATTATATGTATATATATATATATATATATATATATATATATAAAACATAAAAAACATAAAAAATATTTATAAAAAGCTTAATTTAATTTTTTTTAATCTATCAAAATTAATTTGAATCTTTAACTTTATTTTTAAAACCATTGAAATTATATTCATATACGAGTTAGTGACTATATATATATATATATATATATATATACTTAATAGTCTTAGCTAAAGTTATCTCAAAACTAATATTTAATCAATTAAAGTATATGTGTGGATATATATATATATATATATATATGTATGTATATACACATGTACTTCTAAAATAATATCAAAAGATTTTAATCTAGTGTTTCGATGTATAAAGTTATATGTAAATGAAATATTTTGTATAAAGTTTGATAGAATTCTTTTAAAAATAAAACCAATTAGAACTTTCTGTATCTTTGTAAATAATTTTTATTACAAATATATTTTTAAAAATTAATAACATTTAAGTTTTAATTTAACAGCATTTAAAATTTGTTCATTGGCTATGGTATGATGATTTTTTACTCATTACTAGATTCTTCATATTACTATCAGGATATGTATATACACAAATTTATACAAAGACTATTAGATTATGTCAGCATTGTTTTATTTATTTCTTATGAAATCCATACGAAATATATATTTTTAATATAATTTTGAATTTTTATAAAGAGACATAATTCAAAGAAATATTTTCTTTTTTAGAAACTCGTTGCAGGAAGAAATTTAAATAAAGTAATATCACACAAAAGATATGTACATATATTTTTTCAACAACATACAATTAAAAAAATGTTTAAATTATCTATTCTTTCTTTTAAACATATTTTGATGAAGATCTCTCTATAAATTAGTACAGATTTAAATTAAAATTTGAGATTAGTTTTTTATTTTATTGATTTTATTATTTAACTTAGTAAAACTCAACACTAGGTCTAATAAATATGTAAAATTATTATTCATCAAGTTGAAGACGGTGTGAAATTGGGTTAGTGAATGTACTGACCCAAACTTCAAAGATGGTGAGATTTGACTAAGAAGTCTACTAGATAGTCCAAGTTTGAGTATTGAGGTTTGTCTACAAAAACCTTACATGCATTATATTTTTTTTGTGTGTGCAATGTTACTACTTGTTGTTGTGTGTGGAGTGAACTTTTCATGACCAAAAGGATCCAGGTGGTGGCTTCCAAAACAGTGAAAAAAGCTTGGTGGCCAGCCCTAGGGAAGGTGGTGAGGAAACACACAACAATATCAACAACAGCGGAAGCAAGTTATGAGGAAGGATAGAAGCACTGCCCCTTGTGGGTTTAGTAACTCTTCGTGTGGTGTGATAACAGATGGATCGGGACAGATTTTTCAATGCAGGAAATGTTGCTGAATTTGTGTCTACTTCTTAGTTTTAAAAAACGCGGTCTGTTCCCTAACATACTATCTTTGATTGCAAACACGACTGGACACCTTGACTGTTTTAAAACAAAGCTAATAAACTAATCTGGAAAAACAAGTCCACAGTTACGATAAAATTTTTACTGGGACCGGATTATAAGGACCCGACTGAGCTTTTTATGCTTCTCATGATTCGAGTGGTACGTTTAGTATTTTTAACTTGTAGACAGTGGTATACACATGGCAGGAAAGCCCCTTTCTAACCTCGAATCATGGAGTAGATTTTAGCCAGATTATAAACCAATGGCATATATGTGGAATCTCCAGGTCAAGAGAGACGTAGGGGCGTCTTGAAGGGTGATCACATTGACTTATTGCTCACATTAATAGTCCTCGCGAACTTTGTTTTCTATTAGACTCAACCGCGTTGACGTTGACACCCAAAATTGAACAAGTCAATCAGATGTGAACACATTTTGGATGCAATAGGCCTCGCTGATTATCAGGCAATGTGACCAGCAGTGGTTTTCCTAATTCTGAAGTTTTTTCCCTTTATTTTTCCCTCGAAGCAGGTAGGATACGACAAAGATTATCTGCATATCTTATAAAATCAACAGCAAATTGTTTGTCTTCCTGTTCTCTTTTATTTGTGCACTTTTCTGAATGCTGTTCACCTGGATTGCTTGTAGCTCACTCGAGTATGCTGATCAATCATTTGCACTTTCCCGAAGAATTAAAGAAACAAATTTCATGCAACGACAATAGTGCAGTTCACATGACACCAGCATGACAATAAACCCGAAACCTGGCTGGAAACTACATGCGGACCGTCTGCTGCGAAGGAGAGCAACCAGGTATTTCAACAAAGTGGATCCAGTTTGCGGAGGGGCATGGATCATCACGCACGCTGCAGTCTGGATCGCAGGGTCCAATGCATTATAAAATTGTTCTCTCGTTTAAAAGGGTCACAAAGGAAGGTAACATTGGAGACAGCCGACCCCGTAACTTGTCCTTCAAAGATGACAGGTAGGGTGCATGGTGACCAGCCAAGCATGCGCTGGCACAACCATTTCACCCACCCAATCCACGCCTAGTTTGACGCTACGCTGCGAACCTCCGAGTCGGTCTTTGATAATCGTGAACATATTCCCATGGCTCTTCAACCCTGGTAATCAAGGACTCGATGCACAAAGAGGGACTGTACATATTAACTACCTGTTCTTGAATGTTTCACACTGCTCACACATGAGCTTGCTGGAGCAGCCCACCCTAAACTGAAGGCTCTCTATCCCATCTTCCATTGCGAGGCAGTAGGCAGGACGCGTGTGCAACGAGGCGAAAATCGGTTCTTCATTACGTTGAGGTTTTTGTCTGCACCTTGTACCTTGTGGCGCTCTGTCTATGCATGTCGTACATTTTCTTTGAGCTAGTTACTTGCTCAAAATTCCTATAGAGTTGTTTTCGTATCGTAGCTTTCTACACTATCCTGTACAGTCTTCATGCAACTTAGCCAGTGCATCCACCTACTTTTATGAGAGCTGTGGGATCCTCTCCAGTTTAGTTGCTCGCAAAAAGTAGCTAAGTATTCTCTACTTGGGTATAGCCATTGCTGTCCTTAGCTTTATTATGCGAATTTGATAGCCATGACTCAACTTTAAAACACTGGGTTAATTTTAAGGGATGCCGGATTTTTGACAGGTTTAATCCGTAAGCAGTGCAAGTGTACCCCTTGGGAAACCACAACAAAAAAAAAAAAAAACAAATGGCCCAGGGAAGAGGCAGTGCGATGGTCATCGTTGTTGTCTCAGCTCTACTTGTGCTTGCGCACACTGTCGTCGCAAAAGATTTCACTGTCGGAGGCACTCAGGGCTGGGGCTTTCCACCCGGAACACAAACGGACTACTATGACACCTGGTCATCTCAGCAAACGTTCGAGGCAGGAGATAAACTGAGTGAGAACCTGTAGCTTCCTATACTTTTCTCAATCCTACACGGCAGTTTTCATACTGCTATTTACTTGAATTGTGAATTGAATCTGATCAGCCTCCTTGGACTTGTCATCTTGCAGTTTTCACATATAGCCCAGTACAACACGATGTACAAACCGTGACCGTGTCGGAGTACTCAGGCTGCACCCCGAGCCAAGGCCTGAAATACACAACTGGAAAGGACACCATCGCCCTCTCCGCACCCGGCACTTACTACTTCTACTGCAGCATCGTTGGCCATTGCGACCAGGGGATGAAGATGAAGGTAGTGGTGAAGGCCGCCACCGCGGCTGCTCCCGCGCCGCTCGCCACACCACCAACCGGGTCCACCGGGTCCACCGGGTCCACCGCCACGGCCTTGTCGATTTCTCACCGTTCCATCGCGGCTGCCGCGGCGGTAGCTTCGCTCATCGCGGCATTTCTGATCCAAGTCTAGATCTCCAACAACCTGATCACTGCGATCCGAACGCCAGCCGCGAGATCGGCTTCGTGAGTGCGACTGCGGCGACGACTCCGAATGTGACTAGAAATCGCACACAGTGCTAGTGTCGACTGTTTCCATTTTGATAGAATCTAGAGTGAATATATGAGTAGAGTGCGATGATCCAGGGCAACGGAACAGTCGAGATCGAAGGTAGTGCTGCAGGGTCAGTGGATCCATCGCCACAGCGACACACTTACCGATCGATACGTAGCATCTCCGACCCGTGAAGCTTGCTTGCGATGTGCCGCGCGTGTTTGCATGGACCTCTGCTCCCGCGGCTCACAATCCGGCACTCTCACCATCTCTGATCTGCATAGCAAGACTGTCTCCTTGTCTGTTTTCAGCGGTGCTTCTGTTTTGATCATTCCTATTCTTAGTTTTCGTGGTTTCTTAACACCCCCTGCATAGTGAGAAAGTGAGTGTGGTTCCATTTGTTGTCCATGCTTCATTTTGTTTGTGCATGTGTTTTTATGGAACTTGCCCTTGTTAGTATGGTGATGTGGCAATTTGGGTATGTCAGATTAGGTTAGCAGTTTTATATGTGAGTCTTTGTGTTTAGGTAGACTGTGAGAAGTTACAACTTTCAAGGCTTGTGATTGGTTGAAACAAAGAAGTCTCTCTTAAATGGCTTTGTGTTCAAGAAAAGCAACTGAGAGATTGTGATAGGAAAAATGAGGTTGAGTGAATAGAATTGTTTTCCCCGTGGTAAACATGCCAACTCTAACATGCATAGGGTTGTCTCCCAAAATTTGTGTTAGACCCATTTTGAGGTAATTTTATTCAAATATGGAACTTTATTTACGATGGCTTAAAACAGCAATTACGAAATTTAAAACCATTTTTTAATTTTTTTTATATTTAAAATTCAACTCTGAGTTTTCATATATAAGAGAATTACTTGGTTAATAAGATTACTTCTTATTCTACATTATCTCCGAGAGTAAAATACTTCCAAAGTAATCTTGATTTATCAAAGTTTGAAAAAACAATTAACCGTAGCCTATCAAATCGACTTCTTATTCTTGAGACCCTCTAAGTTTTTTGAATTTATATGTAATAGAATGCTCAAAATATATATATATATAATACTTTTAAGTGTTTTTTTAATATTATTTCAAAAAAATGTAAGACATTTACACAAGTAGAAATATTATTTGGATACGTTTGTTTATATGACAATTAAGACCATTTAAGCACCACTTCAAAATGAACAATTAGTTTTATTTTTACTATATGTTATTTAGTTAATTTTTAAAATCTTTAAATGTATTTATATAAATATCTTACAAACATGCAAGAATCTTTGTAACAAAACTTCAATACAAGCCAAATCGAAGCCTTGTCAGGACATTGTTAGATTTTTACTCTCTACATTTTACTCCAATAATAAAGAATCAATTTATTTTTTTAATTAAAAATACAAAAAACCAAAAGGGTGGCATGGACACCTCCAATACTTCATAATGAAGGAAATGAAGCATCATTTACAGGATAGCAGTACATAATTTTTATTATTAGCACACTGATCGAAGATCACAACTCCAAACCTTCATTGAAGCAATACATTGTTCTAAATTGAGAGCATCCAATCCAACAATGTATCACAATCCATCTGCGTGTATAATCACGACCACATTACATATTAAGGATGCAAGTTAGGTGATGCGGCAAACATGACTGGGATATGGTTCCCAGATTCGAAAAGAGCTGCAGGATTGTCAACTTGCAACTATATCCATGAAAGCTCAAGTTTCAGGCAAAAAGCAATTTTGGGTGGGAGCATCACTGGCTTCGGCAGTTCAGGTGCAACCCATGATTCCCCTCCTTTGTTTTCCCTCTCGTTTTCATGAGAAATGCTGGGCGGCAAGCTTGCCCAGCTGAGGGCTGCTAACAATTTTGCATCACCTGCAGTTGAATCCATATAATTGGGACTCTTTGCAAAATCTGCTGCAAGAAGACCTGCTCCTTTTCAGCTGTCCAAGTCTGGAACAGCTGGTTCACTTGCTTAAATCCGATGTGGAGCAGGGTAAACACGATTACCCACACCTTTTGTGCTTCCTCATTCCCCTGCTCAAAACCCCTGGGAGGATACCTACCACTTGCAAGACAAAAACCTCGAAGCTTGTCGAGTCTTCATCGCTACCAGTGAAGGTTTTGAACCAAAAAGATGACCAGTTGGAAACTCCTAAGGTGACGGATGGCTCTTGATACCGTATCAACTACAAATACTCCGAACTCATGAAAGCATCACAAGGCGCAAGGTTAGGCATCTAAAGGATACAGAGCCGTTTGTATTCTGCGAAGGGCAACCTTGATGCGCTCTTTCAGGTTTTCATCCTTACACTCGATGCCTTTTTTAACGTGGTCTACGGTTGCTACAGTGCCATCTACATTTACAGTTAAAGTTTGTTGCTTCTCATCTAGTGTAACGTCTCCAAATAACGAAACTAGAAGCGAGTGGACTATCTTAATCTCATTTTTCTCTAATCGGGTTTCTTTAGATCGTTCACCTCCTACAGCAAACATGGATTGCGAGTCCAGCTTCAAGATCATCGCTACCACTGAGTCGGCTACCATATCACTAATGGGGTCGGAGACCCATTGCAGAATCACCTGGTCAGCTCCTTCATGGGTTATTGTGAGGTTTCCATGTACTTTCAGAATTGGACTGTCTGCTTTCGCTACGGCCTCCACTTGTTCATACATTTGCTGAAGCCGATGGCGAAGCACGATGAATGTGCCCTTGTAAGGAACCGATTGTCGTTGCATGACACTGCCGGTAGAAAGCTGAGTGAAGCTGTGCAGATCATCTGGCGCCATCAGCTGATATGTGAAGCCCTTCCGCACCAACAGGCCACTCACAATGTCTCCTTCTTTAGCTGGCTTCTCCGCAAGACGACCCACTGCCTTGGCGATCTTCTCTCCCTTAAAAAACATTTCAACTGTTTGACAATTCTTTGGTGACAGAATCTTGACGTTCTGCTCAGCGAATTGCGTGGTCAGCTTCGCCTTCAAGCGTCCCATTTCATTGGCCTCTCCATGGACGAGAATAATGTTGGGTGGTCTCAGCTCGTGCAAAAATGCGCTTGTCTGAGTGAAATCTGCATGAGCAGAAAATGATATGTAATGTACCCGCATGTTTAGAGGTACGACCAGACCACTGAGAAGAGTCACTTCCTTAGGCTCATTCATGATTGCCTTGGCGGGAGTTCCCTCAACCACGTATCCAGGAATTACACAAGAATTTTTCTTGTCTTGGCACCAGATGTCAAAAAGTTGTCTTGATAACCCGCTCTGAAGCCCTCCAGGAGACGCCATCACAACAGCAGGGCCAATGTCATCGAATTCGTCAATGTTCTTTAATGGCTGAATGTGTTTAAAATCGAAAGGGTTTGAGACCTGCTCTTCAAAAAATGCCAAGCTGAATCAGTTACGGCGGGCATAATGTGCGTGGATGTACAAAGGACTACTTGAGATAATGAAGAGCATGAAAAGATCAAAGGAAACAAGGATCACATCATCGAATGGAAGAGGACTACACTGGGACTAGTGAATCCTCCATTCGGACTACAACATAGAGAAAGAAATAAAGCGTGAACATTCCAACGTAGTGTTTGAAATGAGATATGTTCGCTGGGGGTGATTGCCCTCGATATGCAATTACTGGAACTGATTAGAAAAACAAATACTTGATATTTGACCCAAACACTGTAAGTTGATTAGTACTGAGTACCTTGTTGATGGCACATTGATATGATAATCAAGAAAAATCACACCTCATTTGTACCCGAAAACATTAACATTTTCGTTGAAATGCAGAACATGATATTAAAGGAGTGTGACCATACCTCAAATTGCTTTTGAATACGTTCGTTCATAGCATTAATGTAGGTCTGATACACTGCCATGCATTTCTTTGCAAGAGGGGATGCATAGTATATAGGAATGTGTTGTAGCTCAGGGTGCGCCTCCCAATATTCATCAAGGATCAGGAGTAATTCTTGAGCTCGTCCTAAGGCAAAGGCAGGGATCAGGACCTTTCCACCCTGTTCAAAACCATCCAATACGTTCATTGCAGACCATTTAGGAAAAGTAAAAGTATTGAGAACAAGAACTAAAACAAGTGCCTTTAAAACCACGCTGTACCTGACTAACAGTTTGAGCAACGGTATCCGTGAACCTTCTTTCTCGCATAATGCGTGGCTGGTGAATTTGCACACCGTATGTTGATTCAATAATGCACACATCTGGCGAAAAGCGTGGCATCTCAGCAGCACGGAGATGGCGATCCTCCTCACAAGAATAATCCCCTGTATACAGCACTCGCATGCCAGCTATATCAACCATGAACATAGCTGCACCCAATACATGGCCTGCTGTATAACACCAGAACCGAATCCCATTTACTTCCATGGTTTGATGAAAATCAATCACCTGCCAACACGAAAATATAGTTTAACAATCGCCCAAATAGAGTACGATACAACTCATTCAAATAGTTTACACTAGCATGTTAGTAAATAACACAAACACATATAGTAAAACCATTAAGATGTGAAAAGCTTCCTTAGAAAGCCACAATGAAAGCAGTAAATGAAACACCTTGCAGGACATGTATAACAACTTGTGTAGGTATCAGAATATGACTAACCTCAATTTTCTCCATCGTGCGTGCAATATCATGTTCATCGTACAGCATGTCGTCCACTGACACCTTACTGATTTTGACAAAATCGGATAGAAGGAGCTTGTAAATGGCTTTAGTGGCATGTGTCATGAATACCCTTCCTTTGAAATTCGTCTGTCATTCACAAACCCATGAACAGTAAACTTCTGAAGGACTACATTAGACCAATAAACAAGCAACGGACAGCTTTGCATCACAATATCATCGTTAAAATGGTGTAGACTCAAAACAGTAACAGTCAGACCTTCTCCAGGAAATAAGGAAGTGAAGCACAATGGTCGAGATGAAAACTGCAAAATGAAAATTAAAAGTCTCCGTCAGATAACTGTTATCAGCAACAAACAGCAACCATAGAGATTTATAACAGAGCTACAGCCACATCTCAGGATCATGATCGCATTCCCCTCTAACAAAGAAAGCCTGGAGCATTAAGCTGCACTTGCTCACTCCAGATGACAGCGATAGAACTAGACACTACCATAAAGAATCTGCTCATATCATACATATTTATAGGGCTAATCAGTCGACAACAACCTAAGAAAGGCCGAGACTACATGAACACGGTCATAATCACATAAAATATGGGTTTGATTCACATGAAAAGAAGTGCAATGCTTTCCTCTCGTTTGCAATACAAGCAAATGAGACTTAAACCCTAACCATCATTAGAAGAAATGGATTGATGAAACAAACAGTACCTGGAAGGTTAATAGTAACTTACTGCGTCACGAGTAGAACGTCTATGCTGATAGGATCTATCTCATCGAAATAGGGAAGCGCTGCCATTCCAGAGTAGCCAGGATGAATTCCACAATCAAACTGCACAGAAGCAAAAGCGACATGAAATGCGACATCATCGCTGCTTAGGAAGAGAACTAGACATTACCATTACACTATCGAACCAAACCAGTAGAAATTAAGCTGGTATATAACACGAAATTGGCATGAACCTCTCAAGCAAAACTCTCGTGTGCTCTTCGCAGAAGAACATTATAAGAAAAAGAGAGTTTGGCAATAAACATGCATCTTTTAATTCTCAAGCCAAACCAATAAGAGAAGGCCCATATATTTTGGTACACACCATCACAGTTTTGCCTTTGTAGGTCATGTAGACACACGAACGTCCAACCTCATTTCCAGCACCAAGGGGGGTGACCTCCAGCTTATCCCCCTCCCGCGTTATCACCGTGGCAGTATCCTTACGCTTCGACATGGCTCCCCCACTCACACGTCTCGATCAATCTGCCAGTATGGCAGAAAAATCAATACTACCGCATGTCAACACAACCACAATTCTGAGACCCACAGCCCACAAGCAACGTAAAACCCTCTCCACCGGATTTCTCAACATCAAGACTCGCAATTCAACTGCACTTACGCTCCTAAGGAACCCAACTCAAATAAAACCTCAGCCAACCACGACTCCAAAACTCTGCACTGCAATGATCCGTCCACACAGCCTGTTGCTGCTACTTCGGGAAATAGACCAGAATGCAAGAGAGCCAGAGAGCAGGGCAAAACCCACCTCGCAAACCTTGACCGAATGATCGTGGGGTAGTAACCGATCGAGGTAAACTTCGAAAGATCCTGGGAGAACCCGGAACGAGGACTCATTCGACAATTTTGTTGAAGTGGACGCGGTGCCCGTTGTGTTGAAACGATGTGCTCAGTTCTTGGCAACGGCGCGGAACTGAGCCCTGGTTTGGTCTGGCGGGATACTGGAGGGCAGGAGGCATTACAGATTTCACTCCCGGCGACCGAAATACGAGAAAGCGCAGGATGATAAATCAATCGACAATGTCGCCATGGAACAATCCGGAGGAGCTCACTCACGCTGCGGCGTCGTCGCATTCTGCCCAGCCGCGGCTTCCAACTGCGTCCCGCCGCTCCGTAGCCCTGTCACCGTGTCGACACCCATCGCCGATTGGCACCCCCACAACCGTCCATGAAGCTTTGCTGCTTGCCCCTTCAATGCCCTCCATTCAAAAATTGTTTTTCACTGGAAACAAAGTTGGAAAGTAGATATTCATAGAATGAAGTGAACTGTGAATGTGTGTTTGTTTATAAGTTTTATTTTTTATATTTAAAATATAACAGAATAAAACAGAATGTATAAGAGAATTTCTTTTTTACTTACATTTCATTCGAATCCTTTTAGGATTTTAGAGGTATTTTATATGGACCTTGTTCCACAACTTTTCTAAGAGCGCATGTTGCGAAAAGTTTTTAGACTTTCCATAATGTACCTATTCTATCCTGTTTAATCACTGTGGCTTGACCAAGTAATAAAAACATTGGTTTATAACCCATTTAGATATCCAATATGTAGAAATATATTTATAATTTTTAAGATTCTGGAGTTCAGTGATAAATTGACTGATATTTTAAAAAATAAATAAATATTTCTTTAAATACTTATTTATTGATATTTTATATGTGTGGTTGAACAAGAAAAGTTTGGTCAATTGCTATAAAGCCAATCTAAAAGTACATTGGGTTGAGAGGGATTAATATCTATTTGGATCAATAGAAATTTAATGTGTAAATAGAAAATTCAATTGTGATAGGATAAAAATAGATTTTTGCATCTTGTTGATTATATATATATATATATTTATATATATGTATATATATATATATATATATACATATATATAAATATATATATATTGACCCCCTCCCCTTAAAACTTAAAACCTAAAACCAGTTGTTTTGAATATTTTTATTTGATTTATTATTGTATTTATGGTAATACATACAATTTGAAATCTGTAAATGCATATTATGAAAAATTAATTTGTTATTTTTAGAATGAATTACTGATTCTTTTAACAATATTTACAGCCAAATTTCTAGTGATTGATTTTTCTTTCATTACTTTTTTAATTATAAACTTAAAAGTTATTTGAAAAAACAAAAAACATATCTCTATAAAATTTCCTTGTAAGAATTTTAATATGTACATTCTTGAAGATGCACAACAATAGGTCTTCCAATATTTTGGTCAACATATTTTGGGGAAAAAGTTGATAAGTAAAAAAAGCAACATGAATCTTTATCACTTATCCATCCAGAAGTATTCATCTGTAATTTTATAACTTTTCTTTTTAGTGTGGCATAGAGGCTTCTACATCTTCTTAGATTTTAATGCACTTTATTTTGTATGTATAATAATTTATTCCTTTTTTTTACATTGTGAAGGGAATTTCTTTTGCACTTTCTTTTGACAATTTGAAGTAAAAAATGATACAAAATCAAATTGATTTTTAATGATATAATTTTTAATTATAATTTATGAAATTTAATGTTTTGTAAATTGTTGCAAAATAATTTCCTTGCACAACATATAAGGCGTAAATTCAATAACTTTATGGGAAAAAAAAAATGCAATTTTAACATTTTTAATTTTTTTTTATCTTGTAGCATCTTATTTTATTTATTCCATAATTTAAAATATGAATCTATGTAAGAAATGAGTATTCATATGGAAACAAATAAAAATAAAGTTTATTCCCTTTCAACATAAGATAATAAACTTTCTTTATATACTTGTTGTCAAACCAATATTAGAGAAGTTGAGGACAAACTCAAAGAATGTTCAAAAATGGCAACTTTTTCTAGGTCATAGAAAAATCTTTACATCTCATTTTTGTTTACTTTGGTTAAATTTACAATAATTATCTTATTGATTTCTATTGTAAATTATTAAGCAGAACATTCATAATATATATATATATATATATATATATATATTGTTTAAACAGAAATAGTGGATGGTATAAAAATGTTATTTATGTTTTAGAATGCAGGAACTTGACCAAAATTTCAACACTAAAATTATTGTAAAGTTTTAACATTTAGTTACTAACACTTTATTGATGGAACATTATTCTATTACAATGCAACAACTACTACCAATTTCTTTAAGTAGTCTAATAATAAGTACAAGAATGTGTGGAAGGTATTCAAATACACTAATAAGGTGTTTTTGAATCACCACTCTAACCTTCACTTTTTTTTAAAAATAAATTTAATATCATTCTTCTCTTAAATTAAAAAAAATCTTGTTGTTATAACATTTTAAGAATTTCTTATGTTATAAAAAGATATAAAAATATAATAACTAATAAATATAAATATATATTTATTTGGATGCAAACTAACAAGATTAATGTTCTAGTTGTATATCAAATCAAATACAAAAGCAACAAAAACAACAATCATTTAACAAATAATACAAGAAAAAAAAATCTACAAATTCAAATACACATTTTTTGGAGAAGAAATCAAAATACACTACTTATAACTTATTCTTTAATTTTTTTTAATTTTTTTACTTCTAATTTCTACAATCCTTCTTAAAATTATAGGGTTAAAAACCTCACATACAGTAAAAATTAAAATTTAGAAATGTAAAAATATGAAGACAATTGAATAAATTAAAATTGAAATTGAATAATATTGTTTTTTTATGAGAAATGTTGACAATTATTTTTATAGTTTTTTCAAACAACATAGTTTCATCATATACTGTATGAACAAGTTCATTTTAAGTATCATTTTTTAAAAAAAATTAAAAAGGACGATTTACCTTGTAAAATTTAAGAAAGCATTTACAACCTTCTAAAGTCTTAAATGTTTGATTTGGGAAGTTATCTTTTGCTACAACATTAAGAATATATATTTTTAAAAAGAAACAAGGAGTTTCTATTCTAGTTTTTTTTTTTTTTTTTTATATATATAATTTTTAAAATAAAAATTATTTTGAATTGTCAGAGATAATTAATACTGACCTACAGGTTATGTATTAATATTTTAGAGGAAATATCTCCAGAGCTTTTTATTGAAATTCCATATTGTCAAGAAAAATTTGTTTTTGGTGATATTGAGTATACCAGTTATCAAAAATTTAATCATTGGACAAAAAACATTTCACAAAAAGAGAGCAATCAGTATATTCTTGTGTTCATTGCAAGCTTTTACATGATACTACAACATTATTTAAACAAAATATTCTGTCCAATTTGACTTCTTATGTAAACAAAGAAACAGTTCTAAAAAACATCCACAACCACAGTTGCCTTGTTCTACTATACCACAGGTTTTTTTGAGAATGTTTTCACACACCCAAAATTAACATGGTAATCCTCTCTACAAGAAACAATTTACTTACACAATGCGTGTCTTCGCACTGTACAGATCCCAAAACAGTAGTGTATATCAATGTAGAGACATCCCTGTTAATATACGCACATACACACACAGTAACAACAGCAATTGATCTCAGGACGCTTATTTCTAACAGAAAGGAACAAAAACAAGCCAGAGGGGGAAAAAGCAATGAAAGCAAAGTGGGAGAGAATCAAGTCGGAGATTGGCAACATCATGGCACTTGCATCACCCCCCCCCCCCCCACCCAAGTTCAAAGAGAGCATTAGGCTGTACTGCCCTGCCCTGCCCAGCATGTGAGAGCCTCACAGGGTTCAGCAAGGTTTAGGGTTTCGCATGACCCGTGATTGTGCAACTGCTGCTGCTGTACGCCGTTTGGCATCAATCCAAATATGGCGCGGGCCGTCACGTGTGACTCGTTACCAGCTTGACCATGACTGCCAATATCTATACCCTTTGCATATCCATCCGCACCAGTTCGCGGGTATCAAGTCGCGCACTCCTCACCTGTCTTTCCAACGAATTCGTTTGTTTTGTATATATATATTTTTTAGAGATGTAAATTCAAAGGAGTCAGAATGCACACTGAGATCGTGTGCAGGGCAGAATCCTGACAATCGTCGCGGAGTTTGCAGGGCAGAATCCTGACAACAGTTTAAAATGGGGGGAGGCTTTTACCGATCTGTGGTGTTGTTGCAGCCGCTAGATCATCATCGCTTAGTTCATGCGTTGACAATCTTTAATTTATTTTTTCGTTTTTTATGTTGCTCTGAGTTGAATTGTCGCATTTGTCAGGATGTAAGCGGCAACTGAGCGTTGTCAGAAAAAAGTCTCTCCATTTCGGCAGCGGAGACTATTTAGGATTTTTGTTTTCCCTCCAGGTCAAAGAAACAGAATCCGCCTTCGCTGACGCCGGAATCAGCACAAGCAAATCTACACGTCTAGATCCTAGTGTCTGGCGGATTTGCGTCGCCTGATTTGCTGAAACCTGATTGTCCGATAGGACTGTTGGTGGTATATGACGGAGGGATGGACAGCTTCCCCTGAATTAGAGTTTCTATTTCTGATTTTTGATGAACGATCATAGTAATGCATGCAGTGTGATACTTAATGATCCTCTTTACGAAGTAGGTAGTAGGAGTTTGGTTGTGTTATTTGAAGGAATTTTTCAGACAGCGACTGGTGTCATAGAGTGTCAGGCTTTAAACGCATGCTGCACAAAGCCTGCCACTCGCACGACATCCACTGATTGCAAAAGCTCTACTTGAAATATTGTTTCATTTCAATCACTGCAAGCTACGTCCCATCACAGCTTAGATATTTAATTCCCAGCTTGATCTTTCGAAGTTGAGTTAAATATTTATGATTTGGTTATCCTAGAGGCAACTCCCATGGACTACTGGGGGGCTACTCATCAGAGAGATCCATTTTCACTGTCACATGTATGCTTAAAGAGGCGTCAATAATTGGCGGCTGTGGCATCTCCAAGTACAGGAAAATTACAAGCCGGTGTCCACAACCAAGCATTGACAAAGCATGAGCAATTTGCAGAAGCCACTTTAAAGAGGGCCAGTAGGCTTGAAGAGCAGTACTGCGCAGGGGAGATCATGAGAGGGAGAGAGAGAGAGAGAGAGAGAGCGAGAGGGGGTAGGAAAAAGAAGAAAGAGACGACAGCAGCCGCTGAGAGCGACTTAGCAGCAGACTGACTGCTTGGCTACACTGCTGTGCACTAACTTCACCCTAAGGTAATGGCAAATTTGCCATGGTATGATAGGGAGGAGGTTCTACTGATCATCGTAGCCATCGTTTACATTGTTTCGTGGATGAAATACGATTCTTCTTTCCTTCCTCTGTTCACGATGAAACCTGTCAGCAATTACACCTGATAATCCGCTTTCGGTCTTCTAGGTTCATTGGCAGGAGCAGAAGTCTGCGGCAAATTTCCTTTCATGGAGTGCTGTTGCTATACTGTTACGGTTGTGTCACTGTGCTATTGCATGCTGCCAGTTAATTGAGCAATGAGGTGGAATTGTACGAGGTTGTGGCAGGTTTCAGAAGCTATAGTTTCTACGCTGGAGGATTAGTCATGGCGTGTAGAGGGAAGAGGTGAGACCAATTACAACACCGAAACAAAGTGGATGAAGAGGAGTTACGTTGCAGAGAGATAGAGTGAGTTTCGAGGGTGTAATTCTCCGTAAGCATGCGTGTGGATTGGCTGCTAGTTGATGAATTGGTTGTTATAGATGTCAGTATCCGTGACGATGAATGATTTGATTAGTTCGTGAGGTTGCACGCTTGTGGATTAAGGTTCATATTTTGCTTAAGTTTGAGGAGCTTCTTAAGATCGTCACTCCTGTTCCGAGTGCTTGAGAGAAGTTTGGAGACACTTCGTTGCCCTTTCTGCTGAGTCAAGGCGGATGTCTCTGAGTCTTAGGTCTTGAAGCCTAACGCTAGTCCTCAGTCCTCGGATAATTGAACCCCTTAATGCCGAGTGCTCTGGGAGCTATTAAAGCTTGACGGGACTTGACCTCATCCGGTTGGAGCAAGTCATAACCGCGGTGAGCGTGGCATGTATTAGGGGTTTCACACTCTTACTCGAATTCAACAACACTGTGACATGATTCATTTCCATTAAAATCGACTTTTATCTTGAGATATTTTGTTTTTCTGAACCACGGTAGGCCACGATTAACGAGAGAGATGACATAGGAGGAAGATTGCAGTCAAGAATTTATCTCGGTCATGTTTTCGTATGAGATCTCGGGAAATGCACTCCGGACTTGCGCATTTTCGTCGCAGTCGTGATCGAAATATGCTTAGCCAACGTTTGTAGACCTCTCTGGAACCTATTCGTTAGGGGAATGCTTCTAGCTCCTGAGCTACTCCCAACAACATATTGCGCCAGCCTACATTTGTGGGAATGATTAAGGTCTAGTTCCGAAGTGTTATTTAGAGTGTAGGTGCAGAAAATTCCCTGTGTTTCTGTGTGTTGTGGGAAGGTGGAGGATGTACTGTGAGAGAGGAAGAGGTTATGACAAGTGGTTGTAGTCTGTGCCCCAGCTTCCAGACTTTTCTTGATAGTTATTGAGATTACAAGGCTGTAAAATTTTGAAATGATTTTAGAGCGCAAAAAGGCCTCAAAGAACGGATATATGAGCGAGACAAATGCATGAGCCGCCTAGACTGGCTGCAGGAGAGAATTAGCCCAGTTTTTTGGGCTCAGGTCAAAGATGTCATGTGAGAGGAATCCTATTAGAATTTCATTCCATCTTCCTCAGTTTGTGTTTAGCCTTGGCAATTCGAGTCACGATAGTAAAAGTTAGCAGAGTAGAGCTTATGAAGGTGCATCAAAAGCACGTGAGACCAAGGAGCACATTGTTCTTTGACACCACAACTGGATATCAGTCTAGAGAAATGAAGGATAGGTCATGGGGTTGCTCGGTGTCAAGAACATGCTTGAAGAACACTGCGACGGATCCTGTGGTAATACAAGAGCGTTCATCGAACCCGAAGCAAGCAATCTCGAAAGGTCCTGTTCGGCAGGTAGAGGCCATGCCCTCATTTACCATTGATATGCCGGTGACGAACAAGGAGGGCGTAGACGCGCTCAACACACTTATCCTAAGAAAACTGGCTAAAGAGTCATTCATGGGTGACAGCGTTGCAAAGAAAGTAGGATGCTCAGAAGAACCCAATTGTGAGGAAAAGGCCGGAGTACGGGAAAATTTACGGGAGGCAAGGAGCACAATAATTTCATGCAAATGCGGCATGCACGCAGGGAAGGAGCTATCTTCCTCATTCTTTGACCTGCAAAAAAATACAATGTGTATGGACAGGAAAACTAATCTAGCATCTTTTAGTAGCGGAAACATCCCCGAGGGAGTTGGTTCTCTCTTATCCCGAATAGGTCTTGACCACAGGAAGAAGTTCGACCAAGAACTGCCGGTATTCCAGAATTCAAGCGCGTTCGACAAGTCTCCTCAACACAGGACCTCTGTGTTAACCCAAAACACTCCGAAATCGACCTTCCTCCAAGATGCTGGTGAAGAGCAGAGTTTCGCTGCAAATACTGTGCCCAGGGAATTACTTTCAATTTCAACAGAACAGGTAACACCAACTTTCACAAAGTCCATGGTGTATGCGTTTGTCGAATAGACATCGTTCATTACCTGTTAGAAACAAGTGTAAGTCTCCTCAGCAGAATCCTTCCTTCTTACGTAAACTGAAAGATGAAAGATGAACCTCAAACATGGATTCCGAGGGGGGGGAGTTTGATGCTAACGAGGTGATTTGAAAACTTCAGGCTAGCAAGTCCAGGAGTTCTATGCATCCCGGCAGGTACATGTGCATTCCCGAAGCTAGCTCGTTGGAGAATTTGATGCGCCCCGATTTCAGCCCTTTTCGGAGGTCAGTGACCATACTCGTCACATCTATGCACTTCATGTCGCAAACTAAGCAAATACTGAATGTTTGACCGTTGTGAGCTTCCGGAGGTGAAAATATCACCCTTACGAGAAGTAATTAATGCGTCTCCTTCCACCCTCGAATTTGCAGTTCATGTGGCTGCTTTCAAATTAGTTCGTAAAAATCTAATATAACTCCAGCCTACGTAACTCTGAAATTTGTTTTATGAACGGCCGCGTCATTCTGAAGGCTAATTTCGTGTATTTTTGCTGCTCTTCGTCTGAAAACCAGTGATGTCAATGCAGAATAGAATTTCCATATCAAGTCACTGGATAAATACATCCAGACCTGCTGTATACAGATTGGTCTTTCACCGCAGCAAGTAGTAATTAAATTAATCTATGTTCTGCTGCATTGAACTGTTCAAAAGCGACCAGTTATGTAGCCATCATGTGGCTAGGTATGAGTACTGACAAGCTGACTTGATTCAATCAGAAGGGCCATTGACAGTAAAATCACTTGGGGCCTATCGTTGTACACAACGTGGTATTGTCTTAATTTATGTTGAATCAATCATCATCGCAATTGATTTATCATAAATAAGCGACGGAAAGTATCATCTTTCCCTTGCTGAATCCTTATTTATAGTCACCTGTTCCTAGCCTTTATTAATCGTTAAGAGTCTCTTACACATCAAAATGTGCTAACCTCAGTAAATTCTAACTCACATGACTCATGCAGCAGGTGTTCAGCAGTTAACCATGGGGAATCCGCAGCTTTTAATAGTAAATTTATATGCCCATCGTCCACACATGATGAACTTGATACTTTTGAGAGGTATTTACCAAGACCACACGTTAATTCTCCAGTGCACACAGAGGCTCCTCAAGGCCTCACCAAGCCGTCATCACACCACAATGCTCTCACCGAAGGTATGCAATTCCGGATGGATGAAATCGGGGATTTTCGAAATCTGCGAAGCAAGCCACGGGCTGAATCAACGTTTACTTGGAAGGATCCCGCCAGAAAGATATACCGAGATGAAGGTGAAGTGGCAGTAGCGTCATTAAACACTTCATCGCTGGAGCAACTGAAAACCTCTGAACATGTTCACTGGAACCTTGGAGAATTGATGCAACGACAGGAAGTAGAAGATGATGTGGACGATAACCTCGATGTTTTGAGAAACACATATGTTTTCAAACGAGGGAGTGACGAGATTGGCTGCCAGCTAGAGGAACTGCCCAGGAGATTGATTAGGAATCGATGTGATGCTAAGCAGGAGGAATTGAGAATAGGCCGTGGCACTCCACGAAGGCATGAGCTAGACCCTGTCAAGTTGAAGCATGGAGAGAGGCAACTTGATGGACTTATCCAAGAGGCGAAGAAAGCGGAGTCTAATGCTAAGTCAAAGAGCAAATTCCTGGAGGACAGATCGTTTCGGCCGCTTCAAATTCAGAAACAAACAACTGAAAGAAAGTTTTCACAGCAACGGAGTCGAGTTCGCTCATCTTGTACTAGTGAGAATTGCAGGAATGTTGAGGCCAATGAAGAGGACGGCAAAGTTTTCCAAGGTATTGCTTCTCGATTGGATACTAGAAAGGTGGTCACATCACAGAAATCTCTTGACGATTCTGCAGTTATTCAAGAACTTGAAGGAGACTGGGGGACAGGTCGAGATGATCTGGAAGTTTTGCTGAAATTCCTGACCATGAAGCAACAACTCAGAGAGAATAGACAGAGTGATGTTGATGTTGTTGTCCAAACAGAAGCCACTGTACGGGAGTTACTCTGTCGGATGAAACTAAACAGCTGTTGTTCCTCTTCTACGGATTCAGATTCTTCATTTCGCTTTGTCCCAAGGTCAAATGCGTGCGAGCCAGTTGTGGATGGTAGCTATGGTGTTAAAGGAAAAATATGCAAATGGCAGGGCAGGAGTTCAAGCTCGACTACTGGCACAATCAATGCTATCGTGCATGACATGGACGCGGGATTAGCACCCGAAATCAATGCTGATTCTCATGTAGTTTCCCTCCAGAAGCAGAGCATGGATTGTCAGAGCAGGTCAGAAATTTGTTGGCCACCAATTCAGATGCCGTCTTCCTCCGAATCCCAACCCTTGCAGTGTATGAAGGGATCCGCTAGCGTCAGGAACACTACATCTTGTGATAGGGATTTCTACAATGTCCAATCTGAGGAGCACGATGAAACTGTAAACCCGAGTCCCCCTGCAAAAAGGCACATGATTGATTTAAGCTCCGAGGATGTTGTCCGTGTTGGCAGACACAGAGCTGTTGACACAGGTGAGTCTTCCTCTACCACAAGGGTTATTCTGGACAAGATGGATATTGGGTCAGAAATGTTGGGAAGTACTGAATGTAAGGGTATCAAACTTTCTACGGAGGCATCTTGTTCGTCGGTGAGTTCGCAGATGAAGGCTGCAGATGATCAGTCCCGAACTGCAGACGCAATTCAATTACGTGCAGGCAGGAATTCGGAAAGCCGATCAGTCTCGGGAAGTGCTCCTGCAATACCATGGAACTACCAGCGGGAGATGAAGTCGCCAATTGGTCGGAGCGTCCAACCTGCATCCCCAAGCAGACGATCAGCTCTAAAATCACCGACGTACTCCCCTCAGCATCATAGACAATGTTGTGAATCCTCGGCAACAAAACCTTCCCCAAACAATAGGTATTCGTCCCTTTCTTTGCCACAAGGACAACAGAGACAGCGACCTGCAACAGCTAAAATACATTCCTCAGCAGCCCAGCACGGAGCACAGACATCAACCAAGATTCCTTCGAAGGAGCTCAGTAGTCAAGCTTCACAAGACGTCAGCATGTTCCCCGCAGGTATCTCGGATTCAGTAGTTCAAGAAAGCATTGCCTTGGCGAAAGACTCAAGTGATCCTTACGCAGATTTTCGCGATTCTATGTTGGAAATGATGCACGAGAAGAACTTGTGGCAGCGACAGGATGAGCTGCAAGACCTACTCCAATGCTTTTTGCACCTGAACCAACCTATGCATCACCAATTGATTCATCAAGTGTTCTCCGATGTTGTCTGCAATGGCAGCCACTTGAATAACCATGCCCAGAGCTCAAAATCGAAACGCTCTAAAGTAATTAGCAACCATAAATCTTCTCCATCCAGACCGCGGCCAGAATCACCACATAGAAAATCTCCAGGAAGAGGAGGCGGTTGATTTTTAACCCATGTAGACAGCAACTTAACCTCGAATGATTAAACTCAGTGGATGACGAACAGGTGAACTTATATCAGCTGTACAATTAGAAAATAGCAAGTCAGCATTTTCCTACTAGTCAATTACAAGGGGTAATGCTTCTCATGTTTCCAGCTTTAGTGCACAATAAGCAGCCAGAATTCTGAAGTTAGGACCAATTCCATGGCAGCAGCTGATTTCATGTACTATTGTTAGAATCTTTTGACCATTTGCACACACTTAATGTTGAACAGAAATAGGTGTACATGATAACACCGTGTACAACTATTGGGGAGCTTGTCACAGATGCCACGAGCCGAGACGTCCTTGGAAGGTTAACATCACTCCGTTGGCACCATCGCCTAGGTCTGTAACGCACAGGATGCACACCCCACAACTCATCCAAATGGTGTGTTTGTGTGCCCTACTCCTTTCGCACGACCTGAATGATTTGGTCTCACCTATCTTGAATGATACTCTAATGCTCTTTGCCCTTTGCTCTTTGATTCCTGGGAGAGGTTAACCAATCATTAGAGTACTGTTGCCTTTTTATGAAGGTGCATCTCGGTGTCACTCTTAGCATGTAGAATCTGCTCCAAGTAGTATTTTTATTTTATTTTATTTATATAAATATATTTTTACTGTTCTCATTACAAAACCAAATATTTGCGCTTCCGTTGCTATACAAATAAATTTCCTACGTTGTTGTATTAATAAGCTTTTTTGAAGATAGTGATTTTTGGACTAGAATAGAACGACCTATTTTATTAGTACTCCTTGGTGATGCTCAAATGACCCAAGTACAAAGACTTAGTCTTAAAATTAAACTTAAGTAAAAAATTATAATTTTTTGCATTTATAATTATTAGTGAACTGATTACTATCAATTGTAGATAAATGTTTCTACGAATTTTCCACTTTAATCCTTAATTGAGATTTTATTCAAATTCTTAATTTACTTTTTTGAGCATTTAATTTATTGGATTCTACTTCAATAAAAATCTACTCATTAGCAATATAAGATTACAACAAAGAAATACAACAACATTAATTACTACACTACAATACAATAAGACAGACAAAAAGGTTCTGTTACTATAAAAAGTGTGCAACATCAAGCATCAGAATAGTTATTTACATCAAATCCATACTAAAAGATAAAAATAATAATATTCTACCACAATTACGCCACGGAAATTAATAAAAAAACTTAAACAGTATGTTTATTACTATAAATTAAAGAATGAAAAATATTTCATTTTATTAAGTGGTGATATTTTCGTATCAATTAATTTATAGAAGAAATCTTATATTAAGTTATACTATGTGATGATGACATTTTATCATTGAATAAAATATTCTGTTTATTTCAGAACATTTTTTCTTTAGATTTTGAATGTTGAAAAAGTAAAAATATTAATTTCTTGTGCAATTTCAATCAATTCATAGATGATGTGTAGGGCGGAGGGAGTACTCAAGCTGCTGAGAATTGGTCGGAGCACACAAACCCTTTATTAAGAGCAATCCATAGCGGAGCAGAGATGCTCCGAGTGTGGGCCAAGCCCAACCAGCCTAATCTTTTCTCCCATCAACAATTATGGAATAAAACACACTTCTCCAGTTTTACCTTAAAATCAAAATACCTTAAACTGTGTCATGCCCCTGAACCAACCCATAGACCTTGTCAAAAGCCACCCTTGCACAAACCCAAATCCAACCAATCTTTTTGTGGAAAGATTCCAAGTCCATTTCAGGTCCACCAATGATTGGCAAACTTTTCAAAGATGAAGTAGGTGGTTTAGTGTGATTCGAGGTGGTGGTTTAATGTGTTTTTATGGACGGTTCTGGTCAAGTTTATGTGTTGGATGCTCAAAGTGTCAAACCCTTTGAAATTTTATATCAATTAAACCACAACAACTTTTACAATCTTTTTTTTTGGAGCACATCAGAACCTTATTTCTCCACCATTCTTTATTTTATTTTATTTTTCCAAAAACAAAACCCTAGATATAGCTGAAAAACCTGTTGACGGTTTAAGGTAATCCGACGTTAGTTCTCCAGTCTGGGATCAATGGGCCCTTCTACTCACCCAGCCAACGGGAGGAAAACTGATGCGAGCAGTGGGAGCGTCAAACCATACGGGGGAGGGGCGGAGTTTCCAGAGCAGGAGTAAGAGAGTAGGTGGAGGGGCGCAGCTGCACCCTGATGCTGGCTTGGCCGTCAGTTTGAGCTTGTCATGGCAAGCAGGAGATCTAACGATCGTGAAGAGACTCATGTACTTGACAAATTCAGGTAATGTGGGTCATGGCTCACCTGAGCGATATTCTCACTATCATGTCAAAAAGTGGAGTATTAAAAAATTGGGTTGTTTATTTTCTACAAAACAGAATACATGACCACCACCATCACCACCACAAATGGGCTTACGTGGTTGCAAGGCCTCTTTCAAAAACTCGGATATTCACTGTTAATATGGCAAACATTGTGACAAGTAATGACGCGGCAGCCGCCCCAACAGATCCGGAAGTTGCATTTCGTGGCAAGCGCGGAAGCAACAGAGTCAGAAGAGCAAAATGTATCTACATCAAACCGAATTTACACTCTTCTTTTGTCTTCTAAAACAAGGCTACAAATTCCACACCTCGGGAGCTCCGCCCGGAAGCTGGTGGCGGAACCGATACCGACACTACGTCTGCAGGTTGGATGGCAGACAAAGGTGGCGTGCAACCTCCAGGGAAGAGGTCTGCATTTCACAGACTAACTCCTGGAATAGAAGCCGGATCTGGTTCTATCTAACGCTGGAATCTGCGGGACGAAGGAATTCACAAAGGAATCCATCATGTTGTGCATATTCATCTCCGGCGTAGAATAGGGAGAATCTGGAAATGAGGTTGGGATTTGTTCGCTCCCGTTCGGGTACGTGGGTGTAGTACGTGTGAAATGATTCTGCACAACCCACACGCAGACAATGGCTTTGTCATCGCCGAAGCTAGAGGATTGTTTACCGATACGGGTGGTTTTTTTGAAGGGTTTTGTAGTTTACCAATGTGAATTCGGTAGCCACTTCGATGTTGCCCACAGATCTGCCCCTCGCATTCAACGGCAACGCTACCGTGCGTTCTCTTTTGAACTTTCCCACCGTTTCCCTGCAATACACCAGCATGAAGGGATTGATTGATTACAGAAGCTGAGAAGACATGATGCAGCGATGATTGCTAGCAGCGGCAGAATTGGAAGTGGGCTCCACTGGTTTAAATCTAGCAGACACTTACACGCATTCTCCAACCAAGAGTTGATAATTGTACACCTGAACCTTGATTATCTGATTTTCATTTTGCGTGTCGATCAGAAAAGTGAAGGTGTTCTCGAAGGATCCGTCAACCCACAAGAACTTGTCTCCTTGACCTGTCATACAAATCGAGAGGTGGGTTCAGAGGAAGTGCGGAAGAGGGGAACGTGTTCACCATTTGGCCATATTCCGCCTGGAATTGTAACAGCGATGCAGTGTTGCGGACATTGAACTCAGAACTTACCCCCAAGTATTCCACTTTTGTATGTTGTGTGTAAGTAGCTCAGCTTTACACTGACTTCCGAAACTCTTGCTGCAAGAAGATCGAGAATAATACGCAGGTGTTCAGTACTTCATCCACGTTGTTACACACAACAGGGTTCTAGAAAGAATGGGCTAGTATGTACACAAAAGACATGAAAAACTTAATCGAGGTTGGGGCAAAGCAGTAATCACATAATATAGATGTCATTCCTTTGACGTATCCTCCCCTCAGCTTCAATTGGAGATCGCCGTGCTCTCCTCTTGCCTGATTGAGAAGACGATTAAGTTTACCCTAAACCCAAAATGTCTAAATTGAATTAAGCACAGCAAGCAACCAAGCTTGAATCTTCCCACCTGCTGCGCCGTCATCTGCACAGCTACGAATAAGTCTCCGAACTGCCTCTGCCTGGATGAGGTGAACCTCGGCACCATCACTTGCAAGGAAATGTCTTTCTGTTGCCCCGCACGCATATCTCGTATTTCCGCATAGTTAAGTCTGCGAGACCGTGTCGCAAAGAAAAACGGAAAGTAATAATTAATCATAGATGAAGAGCGAAATCTGACGATTCTCGAAGGTAATCTTGAATTCCAATCATGGCTTCAATCTGCATTGTGTCCTAGACTAGTTCTTTTAACGCATGTTCCAAATTTTTCTTACATCGCCTTCCCTATACTCTTGTCTTTACTGTTGAACAGCTCCAGGATGACGGTGTCTTTTATGTCAAAAATCACTGGAAACCAAATGGCTCCTTCGCGGAGCCCTTCATCCCAATTCGGATTCTGTCCCATATCTAAAACCAAATTGCTTCAGGTCAGAGCCTCGACCTTTATAATGTCGGTAACTCGATCAGTCCACTACCGACTCATCAAAATCTGCATCAAGCACTACAGAAACTTCTATTACTGTTGCAAGGGAATTTGAGGCACGCAGGAAGGTACCATACCTTCTATCGAAGCGGTTGTATAGACGGTTCCCTTGTGTGTAACTGTTACGTATACGCGGGTGTGGGTTTCTGCGCACATTTTCGGGAACCAGGCAGATGGGTCATCTCCAAATTTTGCATACAAGATTTTCTAGTTTAAATGCGAATGTGGAGTTCCATTAGCAGACGAATTCGGAAACGACTACTTTTGTTTGTAACAATCTCAACTACAGAACATAAGTGACCAACGTTGAAAAGAACATGGATTGGTAACTGACTGAAGGGTACGCAGGCATCCACTCCCTCGGCTCGCTTGACCTTGAGAAGCAGGTTGCAGACTGTCATTTTTGCGGTCCTTTATTCGAGTCTCTGCATATATGGAAATCCACGTAAAGGCTTCCAGTCGTGGTCCTTGAAGTTTGCTCCACCGACAACTGTAAACCATCGGGTTCATACGTGGTATGATACTGGTGACGGAGGGCTCGCGGAACAAGACCGAGACATCATCAACATCTGATAAATAAAATACACGAGCAATGTTCTTTACAAATTGATTATCACTCACCTTTCAAACTGTCCAAGTTTTCAGAGCCTGAATACAAGTACTACAGAGGCTAGTCTGTAACCATAATTCTGTCATAACCACAGCTCCTACGCACGGACCAATGTCTAGTTTCGGGACAATTCGGAAGATGTGCCCCAGAGGCGACGACACACCAACACACTGAGGCGCCTAGAGGCAGACTTCATCTGAACGTGCTAAGTGCACACAGACCTCAAAGGTCGGATCTCGGAAGGGGTTGCTTCGAAGCCTGCGTGGGCTTCAATGGACGTCTCTAGAATAAGCTCGGAATCTAAAAAGTAGCTTTCGATAGCAAATCGAGGAACTATACCGAGAAAACGACGTATCCTTGTAGTCACGAGATGATGTCCCTCCGCAACTTCGTTAATCTATTTTTGCAATCTTCAGGAACTAAACCATCTCCTAATGCCACGAAACTACTCTGATTGACCGCTACGACATTTTCGTTTTCAACCTTATCGTTTTTTGAATGCGTCGTATAGCGCAGCACCGGCCACCCCCGACCCGCAGAATTCGCCCTAATGTCAACCTTTCATGCAATTCCATTTAGGGCCAGCAATTGTCGGTATAGACTTGGTCACAGAAGTATGAGGCGAATCTATGTGGTTCAGTCGGGAGAAGATAAACAATGGTTGTCCAACAAGATCAGTTGCCATGCCGTTGATAACTGCCAGGTGAGCCGGTTCGGTGCTCCTCCACATCGTACAGAATCCAGACAACGGGTGAACCAAGTTTGAACTCTGGAAGTGTTTCCTTGTGAATCCGTTAAAATGAAATTGTAACGAAAAGCTGTATTGTTTTTTGAGTCTGCAACACCGTGTTGCAGAAAAAGCCAGCAGGAAGTAGTATTGATTCTTCACTAACGCAGACAATGGTTCAAATATTTTCTGAGCTGGGAGCAGTTAGACACAATACCCTTCTTTGCTAGTTTGAGAACCTTCAGTACAAGTGACAAATCTCAATTTCTTTGCGGTCCCAGTACTGATGTTGCTGCAGTTTAATAGTTACAGAGCAATTCTGTAACCCACATCTTAATTACGCTACACAACCAATATAGACAAGCTTGGAAAGATACTTGTCAGGAACCAGAACAGTGTTGAACAGAAGGAGCAAACAAGTCAAGCAGGTTTGGGTAAATCTCGAAGTTTCTGACTGCACGATAACATTTCATTCAATCAAGAAGATAAGTCTTTAATTTAGGGCCTCAGTAGATCACATACGAAACAAAATCAGTACCTTGTTTTTGAATATCCCGTAAACAGCTACGTAGATACTGATCGGAAGCATAAAATGAGCCTAAGGATCTGGAACACACGATTATTATCTGGAGATAATGGGTGTTATACAGGCATGCGCTAAAAGGATCAACAGTGACATGAAGTGGCTTTCAAAGAACCCTAGCGGCAAGGAACAGCTGCAAATCACTGACCTTGATTCTTTGATTGACATTTCATTCCAGTATAGGACGCACCGTGACCTGTTTTGATCTTCAGATGTTATTGCAATTAGACCGATTTAGCAGGAAAAAACAAAAACCCATGATACCGTAGTTTGATCCGTTCTAACAATTACAACCATAATTTCCGCTACATACACAGAAATATGAAAGGCAGTGGAATCATGGCGTCTTGCACCAACATACTGTACATTATCACCCAGCCTGGTCATTATTATGGTACAATCACCGTATTGCCCAGGAAACTCGTTTCTGAGCTGGGTTGCAAGCAGAAACTCACTAGGAGGAACGCGACTGCAATTGGATGCACTTATATACTAGCAGAAGGATCGCTCCATGTGGCAAAGGAACAGTCTTGAGAATTCCAGCTCCTACCAAGAGTCCCAAGGCAAGAATAGCAGCATCAACATGATATGCTCGTCCAAAGATTCTCGTAGTTGCTATGATGATCACCATAAGAGCGAGCCCTGGCACTCCCCCCACCAACCACGCCACTCCTGAAGCAAGTCTGTAACCTACTGCAAAATCTGTCCGAAGAGCGGATGAACCCACAAGTAAACCCAGTGCGATTCCAGCACCAAATGTATGCCACAAAGCGGTAACCACCCACATAAATAATAATGCCTCCTTAGACGTGCTTTGCCATTCGACTCTCCAGCCTCGTTGCCTAATTTCCTCTTGACGAGATTTACTACGATCTGAATTTCTGACTCGCTTTTTCTTGTTATTAATAAATGTGCTGTTAGGGTAGGTATAATAGTAACTTTTCATGTCAGGATAATCGTTTTCGTAGGCATATGTGAAATGACTCCATTCCACATTCTCATATGGAACCCTTCTGTACTGAGATCTGTTATGACTTGAATGTGCCGAAATGTCTCTCTCTCGTCTTTGGTGAGCTTGATTTCTTCGTGACGCATTGGCTCGCTCTTGCAAAGTACGATCGTAAAGTTTCCTACTTGTCTCATCAGCTAAAACCTGAAGAGATTTGTAAAATCAAGTCAATGCAGAGCAGTGGGTACAAATTCCCAAAGATCTAAAGAATGCAAAATTTTGGTTGTATCAATACAGGATTTGACGCATACGGAATGAACACCACTGCTTCTCCGCCTAAATTAAGTGGCATGAAGCCGCAGAGCCACTTAAGATGCAATGGATTCATATGATGAGAGACCTTCATTTTCTCTATCAAAATCTACCCAAAGCTCAATCATGCTATGAATTTACGTCTAGATTTAGCCCGTCCTATTATTCAGAGAGGCTTGCACCAAAATTTATGAGTACAGATTATAGACTCGTAAACACTAGGTAAAATCAGACAGATTCATCAAGAGAAAAAACATCAATTATTATTTCAGTAACAACCATCAAACAATAAATATATGTTGCAGAAAACACTCCAGGCGCACCTCATACGCAAGACGGACGGCCTTGAACTTTTCGTTGGCATCTACATCTTTGTTTACATCTGGATGGAACTGCACAGGTAAACGAGTCAGTTCTCTTATTCTTGATTAATCCATTCAAAATACATCAACACTTTCCGTTAAACCTGCACAAAACCAAACATTTTGTACGTCCAGGCTGCAGCAAAAAGAATACAAATGCATACGTGTACATGAAAGACCTTTCAAGTGATCTATACAGTGCGATTGATTAAAAAAAAAGGTTGCACAAAGGAAGTGCATTAACACAACCTTTTTAACAATTCACAGGAGCTTTGGAGGATCTTGAAGAGTCTTGAAGAATCGTGGCTGACCAATAATGCTATTGAGTTTCAGGAATTAATAATGCAGAGATATGTTAACCTGACGTGCAAGTTGCCTGAAGGCCGACTTAATAGCAGAGGCTGTTGCGTGGCGATCCAAGCCTAAAACCTTATAATGATTCACCACATCCACTTCCCATAACTGGCTCCTCGGTTGCCCCCCTCCATCTTCTTCTCTTTGTGCAGCACATCTAACCCTATATTTAGGAATATACCATCTTCTAGATACATTTGATGGACCTATGTGCCTTAGAGTCTCATCGCTTGTCCAGCTCTTGATACCATTCAAATCACTGAGACTCCTGAACCTGCATGAACATGTGTATAGCAAATGGAATAATCCAGGCAGGAAAGAGGTCCTTACATACCCGTAAAGTTAGCTAATTTACTTGCTAACAAATACACACACTTTTACGAATATATATATATATATATATATATATATATAAAGAGAGAAAGAGAGAGAGAGAGAGAGAGAATTACGAAAATTCCAACTTGGTTGTGTGTGACATCTAGCGGTCTAATCATTATGCCGTAATGAATCTAAGAAGACATGATGTGGGAGGGCTAGAATGGAGATAACATTCTATGTAACACTAAGCGCAGCTACATAGTTTCGATTCTACCACGTACAATAATTAACAGGTGATCAACATTTTGAAGTGCTGAGCGAAGTTTTGCATAAATTCGAGGAACATAAAACACCCTAGCCCGCACAGAACTGTCGCAAAACTCTTCAATAATACAGATTCTTGTTAGCCGCGCAAACGGATGAAATTCCGATGAACAACAATCCTTGTGTGGAAGGGAATGATACCTCGGATCGGACCGAGCTGTATAGTTACCAGCTACACAATTCCATCCTGAAATTCCTCCTCGAGTCCCCTTCTTGGACAAGCTCAAAGCTGCAGCAGCTTTTCCCAATGAGCTCGCTCCCCGCAGCCTACTACCTTGAACAGGTCCATTACCTAGCGAACCGAAAAATAATGCATGGATTATCCTTAAATCCTGCCAAGATTGTTCACTTGCAGCTGAAACAGGCGACGCAGGCGAGTAAGCCTTCCCTTCAAATCCAGCAAAAGCTCCAGAACCTCTGCTCAGAGACGAAATTTGTGCACAATTTGGAAACCAGCCAATTAACAAGGGATCTCTAACACTCGGCCAGAAAAGTAGACTCCCCATGGCCCAGAAACACAACCCTCAACTTCGGATGTTCCAAGCTGCCATCGCCATTGCTTCAGCAACACTGGGGAGGAAGAGTGACCGCGCAAGCAGAACTAGCCCACAATCTATTGTTCTCTCAACTCACGGTCATAGGTGTAAGGTCCACGTTTCGTAACGAATGAAGAAGTCCATTCGCAGCCACTAATTCGTCCATGAATGGCCATCCGTCGAAGGGGATGCTAAAATTGCAGAATTTTCTGCTGACGTGTCGAGGTGATTGAATTGAAATTAGGGTTTCAAACTCACAAAGTCTGAGGTGCTGAACTAATCGGGTCTTTTTAGCAGTGCTGAGTTGTTTCCCAGGCTCAGGGCATCTCTGAGACTGCGCTAGAGGAACGGCAGCATGACGACCCGTCTGAAGAAGAACAGGAAGAAAAGGGGACATGTGAGCGCTGGTCATGGGCGTGTTGGCAAGCACCGCAAGCATCCTGGAGGTCGAGGTAATGCTGGAGGTATGCACCACCACCGGATCCTGTTCGATAAGTACCATCCAGGATACTTCGGCAAGGTCGGTATGCGGTACTTCCACAAGACGATGAACAAGTTCCACTGTCCCATCGTGAACATCGATAAGTTATGGTCGTTGGTGCCTGAGGCCGTGAAGGAGAAGGCTGATGGAGACATGAGCGCACCTCTCTTGGACGTTACCCAGCACGGGTTCTTCAAGGTGCTTGGCAAGGGTGACTTACCGTCTCAGCCTATGGTTGTGAAGGCCAAGTTTTTCTCCAAGCTTGCGGAGAAGAAGATCAAAGTGGCCGGCGGTGCTGTCATCCTGACTGCTTAGATTTACATGTGCGAGGTTTATTTGCGGGATGTGAGGAGGGCCGTAGCATTGACTTGGTGGTTAATAGCGTCACCTGAAATGAACTTCCTGTTTTTAGGAACGGCCGCACACTTGTTTCATTCTCCTTCTGAGGATTTTGCTTATGGAACGAAAGGATTACTCTCGAAATTTTTAGGCTGGTGGAAATCACAGCTATTTCATCAAGCGTTTTGTTTGTATGGTTATCGGTCATGTGATGCATCTGTTTCGTTCGTTGTAGATCTATCAGGCTTTGTTTAACGCTCTGGTGCTATTACAGATGATTGCAGCTCTGTTCTATTACCGATTTTATGTTTTAGGGTTCCGCACCTATGATTAGGCAGGGTTTTTACCAATCACAAACCTAACTGAAGACTGTAGAAAATATGTGTTTGATTAGATGTTCTTGTGTTTTCGTCAAGAGCTCAACCTTGCAACAAGTATGAGAAGTGATTGTAGGAGTCGTGGATGTAACAGACTTTGGAAACTGCAATGAGTTTGAAGATCGAGTCACATTAGCAGCAAACATGGTATTCTGCTAGGTTGTTTCTGAATGGGTTGCTGACTTGCAGCTGGTGCAGAACGAGCTGTGCGAGTCTTTTCAGAGTGAAAGACGATTCATGGTTTTCGAAGTGGAAATGCCGAATACTGAAAATGATGTGGCTGTCGCTGTCTGGACTTAAACTTGTGACCAGACTGTCGCATCATTGCGTAGTCATGAATCGACATTCTCATTCTTGGGCTTTGACTGGTACGTTGTGCAGAGGCAAATAAGAATCTTGGTTTATTCCTCAATCCCAATTCCAGTTACACGGTAAAAGAGGCATGGAATCAGGTAAAGTTTGAATAAAAGAATTTATGCGATTAGCGTTGTCAAAAAAATCGTGAGAGTTACACAGGAATTGGTATTGTGCCCCAAACCACATCTTTGTGGTTACGATGTTGGACACTAAAACCATGCCATCCACCATATGTACATTTTGGAAAGATTGCTATGTGAGACTGCTTCAGCAATAAGACGATGGGCTTGGCCTTCAACTGACAGAGGTAGTGAAGGTGCGGCCCCTACACCAACTACCACTCCTTGTAATCGCGCCTCAATATTAGCAATTGCACGCTGCAACAATACAGTACAATACAATACCATGTGTTTACGTCGTTGACGATCTCCAATGTTCTACTAACACTTTAGAAAGAAAGATCGTATTCACACTGCTCTGTAGAAGGATACCAGACCTTGTCAACATTTGAGCAACAGAAAGAACACAAGCTGACGTAGAATTCTAATTGAAAACCTCTAGTTACAACGCTGCTTTGTTGATGTCAAACCAGACATTCATAAGCACGATATATTAAGAACGAAAAAATAATATTTGAAATTAAAAGGTTAAAAAGAACGTACCTGTGCATGTGGATTTTGTACCTCAATGCCACTTGACTTGTGCGACTTCGTCCATTCGACAAGAGGGTCATGTATGAAAGTCTCCAGAACGCTAACAAGCGTTTCCCGGTGTGCCCTCAATATGCCTAGAGTGATCTCACAAACACGCAGAAACACTCCTTCATACCCAGTAATACCAAGCCCATCGACCATATTCTGCATGTCCATCATTCAAAGCCATATTAAAACTTTATCACGATGCGAGTGTACGAAATTTGTTGGATATCACATGAATCGTAACAGAGTCGTAGTCTAGAAGCTGATGTTTAGGAGGCAAGGTCATCATGATACAGTGTTGAGAAAAAATATCCAGCGAATCTCCCACTAAGTACGAATTGAATGTAGGATCATTGGATAAAAAATAATGAATCGACGTCTCAACTCGGTTCAACCACACTAATGACTATCAAACGTTGGCACGAACTTACCTGGGTGAGACGAAATGGCACCACCTCAGGTTTTTCTAGTGAGAGCCCTTTGTCGAAAAGGCAACTGAAATCGACATGAACACAGTCGCCAGTAGTTGAATCGAACAGTATGTTTTCTCCATGTCGGTCCCCAAGCCCAACGATGTGTCCCACCATGGACCAGACAGCTGTTGTGTGCGCATAAGCTATACGAGCTCGAAACCAAGCTGCAGGCTCAGGAAACATGTTGAGAAACCAGCGGTGGAAAACTGGGGGAAACATGGGCAATACTTTGTTTTTGAATACTTCTGCCTCTCCTTGAGCTCCTTGCTGATCATACAAGCGTTTTATATAAGAGTTGGTTCTCTGTCGATCAAACTTCCCGGCTGCCACATAAATATCTTGCAGAATGTGTCGCAAGCCTCTTGTATGTAACACCCATTCAATCATTCCACAATCTTCAGTGAGGGGAATGACTGCAAAAGTACGCACATACAATTTTCTTCGTCTGCTTTTTGGATCCTTGCTAAGTAGGCGATTGATCATGGTTGTGAACTCCATCATACGGGCATCCTTGCGCAAGTCATCTTTAGGCTTACATAAAAATGGATGCTCAGTCCCATCACTCCCCAGTAGAACAACCTGAAACCACAACCCACAATGCAATGAGAACGTCATATTTCAAAAACTACTCTCGGTTAAAAATCCCAACTGAGAAGAATGGAATTTCATATTTTACAAGCAGCCAGCATGTGGAAATACCTTTTTAGGCCGTTGCAGCGAGGCTAGGATTTCGACCTCATCCATGATTCCCGATATGGTAGGATAATCACCAGCTGGAAAAGGATTGTAATTCACATTTGACAATCCATCGGCTGGAAGACTAACTGTCAAAGCTTTCTGAAGAGGCATGATCACACCGACGGGCATCATGCGTTTCAGAGCACTAAACTCAGATTGCAAATTCACTGTCTTGGCCTTAGGCTGGCCGGGATAGAAAGACAACTTGATCATCTGGTCAATAAGCGCCGCAAACTGATGGAAAAGAGGTTTATCCTTGGCCTGCACATCATTCCTCGCCTGCTGTATTATTTCAGCTGCTGCTTCACGTCTAGCCGCAACTGTAGACTTTGATACTGCCGCCATGGTCCACAGGGCTTGTTGAGGATATACCTGTTAACACAATAAGTAAAGTTTGAAAGGCTGCTAGTATCCAACTTAGACAGATTACTTAGAGGCCTTGCTTAGGTTACAAGTAGGAAAAGCAGCAAAGAGACAAAGGAAAAAGTTGGAAAGTTGGAAAAGATGATTTCTACGCATATATACTCAATGGTTTTCAAGTTGAACTAGATGATCAAAATGGGTCACCTGGAGAACATGGATGATTATCTGTTTGACCAACTGCACTAGTATTTCGTTCTGATGACATATTCTTGATACTAATTGCGATAGTGCTGTCAACCATTGATAGGCTGGAAGGTCTTTGAGACAGCCCCGCATTATGCTCATTGTCTGACAACCAACAGGAAGTGAATTAAGTGTTCAGGACGAATCAAATCTACAAAATGAACAAGCAAGCAGAGCAGTACAAGACAGAACTGACCAATACAGGACACAAGAAGCGCTGATAATGAAAAGACGGTCTCCACTTTCACACCAAAGTTCTCGCTAATATTGAACAGCAGTGGTATGCACAAATCGATATGAGAACGTACTCTTCCAAATACTGTCTTAACATGCTTAGTAGACAAAGCATCTCCTCGAAAATGAGTTCCAAACTCAAACCAAAGGGTAAGCAACCGAGGCAGGGCTTGAAACAAACACCGATGCCCTTTATGCAGCCCTTTGGCATAGAAAAGTAGAGCATCTGGAAGATATGACCACCATGGTTCATCTGCTGGAGCATGCCGCTTCTGTTTGCCTTTCTGAAATAACAACGTGCCTTGTGAGGAGAAGAAAGGTGACATAAACTATCGATGGGCGGCGAATTGACAAAATCAGTTAGAGATACGGATACAAGCCCATGAGCCCATTTAAACATCGATGACAAGGCACATCAGTCACACCACTCTTACCGACACAGAATCACCAGCTCCATCTTGGTTCTCTTCTTGCCTTCTTCTTGCATCAACCAATAAGTCATCATAGTACTTAGCAACTGAGAAGTAGCCTTTTTCCCATTGGGGCTTCAATCCACGAACTTGCGCATAGAGGCTGAGGACATCTTTTTTTTGCTTTTGCCCTGTATGGTGCACCCAGCGTGCCAAAAGAAGAAGGATCTTTGCAACGTCGAGATCTTTGTCTCTACGAAGTTGGATGCTCGTGGGAGGCCGAACCGAGCTCTTGGGTAGACCAGGTCCTACTTGGGGGACAGCAGATTGAGTAACTAAAAGACCACCAAGTGCTGCACCTGTTGCCTCACCTAGGACCTGCAAATCAATCGAATAAGGAAAAGTAAGCGGACATAATCAAAATTTCGAAGCACGTCAACAAAAGAATGAGTAATCTGGTTTCGTGGTATTAATCTACACGGTTATAATTCTCATAAAAACCTAACAAACGTGACTGAATAGCTCAAAAAAGTGGGTAGAGAAAAACTAATCATTCATGTATCTTCATTGATAAATAGGGTCCGACCTCTGTTGGGAGATTGGAAAGAGCTTGCTGGAGTTCGGCTATTGCTCGATGACATTTCTGTGTGTCCCAGAGGAGCTTGGCCATCTCCATGTGAGCATTGGGAGCCCCTACGGATTGTGCCTGCAAGAGATGAGTGTACTTTTACGCACTGTATATAACAATGGAGGTGCACTTACAGGAGGTGAACAATTTGCATCCTAATTGTTAAGAGCCCATACATGCAAAGTAAACGACGCAAGTTAAAACCTGCAATATAGCTCGACTAGCTGTTTCATAGTGACCAGCCTCTCGGCACAATTTTGCGTAGTGGAGCCAGCAGACACCAACTTCATCTTGCAGGTTACTCTCATTGAACACCAGCCTGCGTAATGCTAATATAGGCTCACGGATCCATAGCGAAGGCTGCAAAAAATAAAATAAAATAAAATAAAATAAAGAAAAAAGAAAAAAAAGTGGATGCGAAATAAGTAAAAAAATTCGTTTGTACAAAAAGGTGTACTTCCTGCTAAGTGCCTGAAGAAAAGAGTCTCCTCAACGTCGAATTGGTAAGTTGTGTTTATTCCTCGACATTCTCCACCTCCAATACTGCATCGAGGAGACATCTAAAAGCAGAGGACAAAGAACAGCATACCTGTGTAATCTTCAGGCGGCTCTCCCAGTCTTCAACCAACTCTTCTATCCTCACATATGAATGCTTCCTCTGAACTTCACCAGTGTTATTCATTCCTCCAACATTTGCAGCTACAAGTGCACTAAAGTCTTCTAGCTCCTGCAACATGTGTAACTTCACAACATATGGATAAGCCCGGGAGTAAGATTCCATGCTTGCTGCTGCTAGAGGTGCAAGAAGAGATTGTCTGGAGTGCAGTAAGTGCTCTGTAAACTTATCATAATCCCTCCTTTGAAGAGCCTGTAAGATTTTCGCAAGACTAATATCAAACGAGGAGTTGCCTAAGATATTTGTGGGACTATTTTCATCGGCTCCTGTAACATATTCCTCTAAAAGGTCCCACTGGCCCAGTCGCCAAGCCGCTTGTAAGCCCTTAGTACTCCACTCTTTAGTGTGATCAGGCATTCTTGAATTCAATCCATCAACATGAGTAACCATTGCCTGCAAGATGCCTGCCAATTAGACCAAAAAGAGAATAAAGCAGCAATTTACTCGAATCAGAGAATGGTCAACCTTGCAAACTGAAGGTAGAAGACGTCGTGGTGTCCATCAGAAGCCACCAATGCTGTCAAAGAGCTCATATGAAACCCAGAGCGCACGACTGAAATTTAAAACGCCAGATATTCGTCTAATACCTGCAGGTGTCCCATGTTGAGAAGACAATCGAGAACCCCCAAATGTCGTGTCACACTGCTAGGTTCCATCTGCAAAGCTTGCTCACAACAAGTCAGTGCCTCACTCCAATTACCGGCCTTCTCATTTATAAGTATTTGGTCCTGAAGAGTGGCACACTTCCTCAGACGAGATATCCCAGAAAGTCCATCTGGTTCCTCCAACCCGCTATATATATCTAGAAGAAAAGTCACGTCTTTATCTGTGAAATCACCGCTTTTCTCCGCTGCAGGATTCAAAGCACCAGACTTCTCCCGGACATATGATTCAAAGTAGAGGAGTGCACGAGCATAAGCCTGACAACGGAACGATGCGCCTGCTAGAGATTGTTTAGGGATAGCAGCAAGCAGCTGCGATACATTTTCCAAACGGCGAGCTATCCGAATGGTTTCTTGTTGTGCTTCCGCTTTAGCACTTGCACGGGTTCCTTTGCTTGGTGTAGTAGAGGCAGGTGGAGCGCTTTGTGTAATTAGACCACCTTGTTTACAGTCATCTAACCACTGGCCCAGATTGTCAAGCAACGTAAACACTGTTTGAGTACTAACTTCACTTGGCCCAGATAAATTGCGAGTAGGATTGCCGATCTCGTCTACTTGAGTAGAATCTGAGCACAATCCAAGTTTAAGTAAGAAAATTCATACTCACTAAAAACAAAAAAATCACAACAAATCGAATACTTCAACAAATAAACAACTATTCATCTGAACAGGAGATCCCAAGGAAAATCCAAATGTCAATGGATGCAGGCCAGTGTAAAGGTGTGCTTCAAAGATTAAAAAAAATCTCACCTGTTGCCAGGACAGTCAAGATCTCCTGTGTAACACCAGCTCTAGCTTCTGCCGAACCATCACAAACAACATTAAGGACCAAGTATGGTAAGAGATATAAGGCTGTTCCCATGTCAAATCTTACAACTCCTCTACACGCTGCAAATATTTCTGCTCTTCTTCCCTCAGCTTGGGACATCAACCGTTTCATCCAGAGATACATCCATCGCCTGAAAAACATTTTAGGATGGAAAATAGGATCTGTCGGCACGGCCCCTCGATCTATCGGCTTGAGGCGAAACTTAGATGTCAAACATGGCGTGATGATCTCCTTCACGTCATCTGGAAACCTCTGCCAGAGCCTCTCGCCGCTCTCGATCGTCACAGAAGTTGCTTCACCAAATTCACTCAAGGTTGGAGTGTTCGATTTTCCCGACCTTGAAAGGGGAGTCCTACTTCCTGCCACTGATCGACGTGCAGAAAGAGCAGCTTGACAGCCGTGAAGCTTCAGCAATTCCTGTATAGCAATAGCAGCATTGTCTTGAATTAAAGTCTCTGACGCAGCACGGAGCACTGGGGCCAAATGCTCGTTGATCAGTTCTAAAACCAGATCCTCGTCTGTACGCTCAATTCGCGATCTTCGACGAAGGTCTACCTGATATTCAAGGACTCAATATCAATATCTTGAGCAAAGAAACCCATTAAAAACCTGCACAAATGTAATGACAACTAAGTAGACATTCAGGAGTAGAAGATCTTATATAACCTGAAGCTTAACAGGATCAACTGCTCCAAGCTCTCCTAAACACAGCGCGCATGCCATCCTCAACTTCTGGCTAATAGCTGTGCGAGACTCCTCTACACAGCCTCGCATTATTGCTGTAACTAGACGGCTTATAACATCAGCATCCAAGGAATCTTCTCCAATCATCATTGAAGCAATTTCCTTCCGATGAGAACAAAGCACCACGTTAAGTTCGCTAGCTGTCATGTACCGAACACTCAAACTTTCATGCCGTAATCCTTCTGTGGCTTGTTTGAGCTGATCACGAAGACTCAATAACCCACGAGCTTCATGAAGAACTGCGTTGATTCTCTCTAGTGCCGGAATACTAGGGAGTAGGGGAAGCTCTCTTGCTTGACCCTCCAGCAGCCGTCGGTTCTTTATTACGAGCTCTTCCAATATCTCCACAACTGCGTTCAGATGTGGAGCTGGTTGACCCTCGAGACATGGTGTCAACGAAACCACAATCTGACAGGCGACATTCTTGAGGTGTGTAGAGGAAACCTAACAAAAGTATTTATCAGTCAGTGCACATGAAAAATACACTCAAGCATAATCTAGCATCAAACATATGTAGATGAGCTTCAATCTCCTGATTGAGCAGAGAATCTGTCCGTTTCATTGAAGCGATTAATTAGCAAAGCCAGAAATTGTCAAGAGCAAGAATATGGACTACAATTACAGTAAAAACTAACCCGAGCGAGGGTCCGGACAAAGGACAACCACACCCGCAGTCCCTCCTCTTGCAGAAGTGGTTCGTGAAGAGTCTGAGTGAGCAAGGCCATGATCTTCGGCACAAAACCACATAGGTGTGGGCCAATCATGTCCACAAGGCGGACAATACATCGTAGACCTTTAATTTGACAGGCAATATCTGCAGATCGTAGTAACTTTTGATTGATGGTATTCAAAAGGCGCACAAAATACGGCCTTAAGAAGTTTGGTAGATCTTCAGATCCAGTCACTATGCTAGCTACTTCTTGGATCATGGGCACAACTCTTGCCGACCTGTATCACAAATGAATCAATTCGATTGCCTGAGAATTCCACTTTTCTACACCAATGTTTCACAGGTAATATCATTGTTTTGTGTTTAGAAGAGCTCAAGATCTTGACAAACCAAAAAGCACAAAAAAAGTAGCATGTGAGAACAACAAACTCTCGAGTTATATTATAAGTGCCCCACATTCACTGAAGTAGTTATTTAAATTTGAGGATGTTCGGAACAAGCTGTAGAGCACTTTACCTCCGAAGTCCATCATCATCGTCAACATCACCTAAGAACCGAACCAACTCATCAAGAAGAGCTGGTAAAACAGCTGGCTCGGAAAAAATCTCACGTGGGTGGAGATCAGTTTGCGCCTCAATAAACTGAAGGGCCGCAGAAAGTTCTTCTCCATCAGCACGAAGTAGAAGAACTGACAATATCCGGTGACACCAATCGATAAGGAGGACTGCCAATTCGGTCTCCAATTGGACGGCCAACCCATGTAAAGTATCTAATGCCTGTTGACTGTGATGCTGATCTTGTGCTGTATCCAGCACAAGCTTGGGAAGAACCACTGGGACCATTTGTGTTAAAAGCTCCTTCAGTTCAATCTCCATCACAGATTTAGAAAATTCTTGAACCATGTCAAGACGAGCAACAAGCCTGCTCACTAAATACTCAAAAAGCTCCTCACGTACGGTGTCTACCATTGCCTGTCAGAGTCAACAAATATATTAGCAAAATGCAAGATTAAAGAAATGACGTAAGAGTAAAAACCATTCAATGAAGGAGTGCACATCCACAAAGAGTTCGGAATTAAGAATGTCCTTCACATGCGAAGTCAAAAAAACAAGGCTCCTTGCGGATCCCAGAAGACCAATGAAGCAACTGGCTGAGAATGTCGACATGAAAATCCTAAGTTTTTAAAACATGTGATACAAGACAATTAATACATTCCTGATGTTTCATTTCAATCCTCTCAGTGCACAAATCCCAAATACTGAACCGCTTTTTTACACGGAGAAGAAGCACATGAATTGAAGCTTAGAAAAGTACTTATACTAAAGCCTGGACAAAGCCACAAACCGTTCTCACGTACATAGACATTGCACAACGTAAGAACGTAATGGGAATCTCAAAATCACCTGCGGTGAATTGCCACTTGCTGTTGAGAATCCACTTGAAGCAATTTGTTGTATCAAGCAAATGCTCTTCACACGCATAGAAACTTCTTCATGATCCAGTCTTTCTAGCAGCAATACCAGGGAAAAAAATAGAAGCTGCCGTCTCCCGCGAGAAGCTTTAGCAACCTCCGCAACAGTCTCTAATAAGGATTGAGTCGTTTCAGAATCATTAGCCGTCGCTAGCGCATCTCGAAGCTTACCTAGCATTTCAAGTTCTCGTTCTGAATCACTGACAGCTCTATCGTCACTGTTTATCAAACACTGCAAAACATGTTTAGAGAAGAAGTGATGGACCTGACGGCAAAAGGCTTCCCGGACAATTTTTTGTTCATGACGCGGGAAAATATCAAGGCATTCAAGCCAGAATGATCCTGTAGCGTTAAGTTCTTCAGCCGATGCATGTTGTAAGAGACGACCCATGCTGCTAATAAAAGCCACCTGCCAAATATCGAGATGATCGTTAGTGAGCTAGCATAAAAGAAGTAATGAGCAGAGCACATCCTCTTGGTCCAATTGCAGAGAACTCCATTACACTCATCTCTAATTGCTCATCATCTGAACCATGCTCTCATCTTATGAACTTTATACGGAGCAGCACATTAATTCTACGAGGTCGAAAAATGGCAGAGTCTGTAGCATAATAACTACTTGGTATGGCAACTTTGAGCTCACCTGAACACGTTCGGATACTTCTTCCAGTGAAAGTTTCGATAAAAGGGGTTGCCAAAGAACTAAAAGGGCTGGCTTTATTATCTCATTGCTACTACCCTCTTCTTTGCTAAGGATGCTTGTTTTTGAATGAGACTTCCCTTTGTTACATTCAGCACACACAAACCCATCGAATTCTTGAAGTGATTGGTCAACTTCTGTGCTTTTCAAGTAGCATTGACTATAAATACAAGCCATAATACCTACAGTCTGAGCCACTGCCTCTCGAACTTGAACAGAGCTCTGCTGAGCCAAAGACCTAGAGTGTAGGAAAAGGAATTCGTAAGTTTCTTTTCGCATAATACTTGTACTGAGATAAATACCTATAAATCTACTTTTCAGCATCACCTGATAAGATGAAGATGAAGTCATGTAAATACAAATGCAGCATACCATCTACGGTATGATCTGCAAGATAGATATCAGATAGCTACACAATTCAGAAGGAAGTTGAAGCACAAATTCTAAGCCTGCACATGTACATAATTCTGCCTACCGTAGTACTACAAGAAAGAATTAACTTACAGTAGTTCAACACAGTAATACTGTAATTTTGAAGGATTTGAATGTTGCGCGAAGGCAGGTATAAATAAAACTGCAGTTGCCTGCACATTGCAATTATCATCCTTCAATGCAGATTCAACGATCACATGAAATGAGTCGCCTTCGCTGTCATTAATCATCTTGGAAGCTAGACCCACAGCTTTAGTCTTCAGCGTTTCATCTTCACCGAGCTCTGATGAAACCCATGGTAGCTTCAAGATCTCAAGAAAGGAGCCTTCATCATATGCAGGATTGTCTCTGAGCATCTCCAGATGAACGATTTTCACGACTTTTTCACAATCTTGGCCAATTGTATCACTTTCTGCGAAAAATTTAACTTAAGAAAAAACCGAGAAAGAAGTATTGCAAGGAAAAAAAATCGTTAGAAATCGATTCGATTGTGCAGATAATTGAGTTAAAGAACACCAGTTCCAGGATTTACCAGGCTGTCTATCCAACATGAGATCCAGAGCTTCGAGGAACATGGAAAGTTGTGCTTTTGCCAATGTTTCTTCTTGGTTCTGAAAAAAATTAAAAAATAATAAAAAAAATAAAAAAAATGGAGAATTAGTGAAGGCTGTTAAGAATATGTAAGGGGGATACTCTGAGTTTAATAAATATCACACGCTGGGACCCACATTTCCAATGATGCCAGAAATTGGGGACATCAATTACCTTCTTCAGAATCCAAGACACCCAATCGAAGAAAAGCCGGATCAACCGTTGATTACAAACTTCGGCAGGGTATTTTCTAAGCACCCTAACCAGCACATGAAGGGCTGACAGTCTGCTTTCTACAGTGGTATCCCCTGAAATAGCATCATATTTCGGGTCAATTGTATCCATCATCTGCAATAACTTTTTATGGATGAAATCTGCTGAAAAGAAATTTCCTTGCTCGATCAGTAGCCTTGTGTTAAGCACATCAATCAATGGAATATGTCCACCTCGAGCCACTTCATGTTCTTCAGGATCAACTGCTTCAGAAGTCTCCAAATGTATGTTACCAGTTTTTTGAGCTATTCCGGTGTCACTTAACTTTCGCCTTTTCCTGTAAGTACTTTCAAACTCCTTGTTGCTGCCAGCATTGTCTGGACAGTCCAATTCAGGAAGATGATGTGCTGGTGGCAGAGGATCGACCTGTTTGTTGAGTGCATTTGATCCTCCTGGCTTGGCCTCTGAGGAATTAACAACCCAAGCTGCACCCTCTAAATTTAATATTTTACCTGTAATAATTCTAGTATCAAGAGTCGCAAGAGCAAGTTGTATACAATAGCTGACGGAATGAACAATTTCAGGAATGTAAGCCAACGGAAGAAGGGCTATCACATGCTCCGCGTACGAAGGGCAATGTTTCATGATCATGGCAAAGATGTCACACAAAGCCACCTACAATAAGCGACAAAATTTAGATTAAGGCCAGTGAATATATTTCTTCATAAAAATGGTCAATGCAAGGTAAAGGGTACGAATGCTACAGATACTTATAAGTTTATTCAATAAAATTAAGATGCCTTAAACAAAAAAGAAAAAAAGAAAAAAGAAAAGAAGAAAAAAAGAAAAAACCAATAGTACAATAAAAAGAACAATATCAACAATCGTCATGAAAAAACCGCCAGTACTTGAATCTACCACGCTCGAATCTGCAAGCATAAAGGCGTAACAAAAATTGAGTAGAATAGAGATTTGTTCACTTACTTTCAGCTCCAGACTGAGAGAATGCTCGATGGTCTGCGGCAAAATGTCAAGTAATATTTGGGCTGTACATTCGACGGTCCCACTGTGGCTCGCGGTATACAAAGAAACAAGACACGCGCTCAAGCTTGCATCATAAGCCGCAGTTCTGACATACAATAACACAGCGTTCAGTATGAAAAGATATAATCAAGTTCAATTACACCGGTATGAGCAGCCTGAAGATCATAACCAAATAGGTTCTTCAGACATCTCCAATTATTAAGCTGCAAAAAAGAAATAAAAATACAAGCAAGGTAATTATGAGAGTAATCTGTAAGTGTGCAACTCATTTAGCAGATACCTAAATGGTGGAAGCTGGCCATTACTAAATGACAGAATAGAGAGCAATGAAAGGATAAGTCTCTCGCTGGGAATAGCATCTGCATCCATTACTACTGTTGCTGCACGTACCAAGTCAAAACAGGCCTGTACGAACGTAGTGTCAATCAATCAGTTCATGCAAAAAATAAACTGCTCTCTATTTTACGGTGAATAATTTTTGGTGGAAGGCTTCGAAAAATAATAAAAGAACCAACATTCCTTCAACATTGTCATTATGGCAACAAATTGTCTTCTAGTTTTTGTCAAATAAGACAAAAACAAGAACTGAAAATACGCTCCTGGTTAGCCAGGGCTACGATCTTAGGAATGGCAGGAAGAGGCAATCACACTGAATATAAGAAAGAATCAGACCTTCTGTAAATTGCTGTCACCATAACTTAACAAGGCCCCAACAGCAGTCAAGAGAGAGGAAGTCAGAAGCCCCTCAACATGCAGCGCACTCTCGGCTACGCAGCGTGTCAGCAGCTTTAGAGTCCATTTGGCTAAAGGCTGCCACCGCGCTGTTCCGGTCACGTCAACCAACAGTCCAGGCCCGTGAGGAGGAGTCCAGCACGAAGGAAGACCACACAGTGGTGGTGGCAATTCCTCTGCTGAGATCGCATGTATCGTAGAGTATGCCCCCATGTAACATTGTAAAGAGATGGTAGTGCAGACAGTGATGCTTGCTGGAGATGAGTAAAAGGACGCAACAGATAGGACATCTGCATGATCAAAAAAATGCTTCCGGGAATCAAAGACGAATACTTAAAATAGAGGAGATAGCGTAATTGGGATTGATTAAGGTCGATTCGATTCTCCTGGGTCCTAGATTGGTATCTGTTCAGCGATTTTGCTGCCTCAGAGATAGAGCCTCATAGAGCCAACAACAGTAAGCCTTTCAAACAAGAAGTGTTTAGACGTAGAGTCAATCTTTCATGTGTACCTTCAACAAGGAGCATGGCGCCAATAAAAATTTGTCGATAGGCCTCCCACTCGCCGGATTTCAGTAGCGCGACAAGAGAGTACAAAGTATCAAAAAGATTGTCGTGTCGTGCGCTGCCAAAAATACACCAAGATATATCAGGCATCAAATCATACTTCTCACAACATCAGCCACTTCGCCATCGCTATGAATAAAATGACAATATCACAACGTACAACAAAAATGTGAAAACCATCCACTTGTTCTGCCTGAGAAATCAGTAAATGTGTAACAGAAACGCAGATATATCAGGTTGCGCTGCACACCTAAATTGCCCCATTCACCACTAAAAACAGCTTACCTCAGTTCAGGTTCGGCAAAGAGAGGAATAATGCGACCTAAGATTGGTAACACTGCATGGCCCTTTCCACAATAGAACACTCCTGGATAGTTTTTGACTGTGTGGCATAGGAGCTTCAAAATAGCCATCAGCTCTCGTTCCTTAACTGCACAAGTAACGCCAGAAGTGTTCATAAGTTTCCATTTACTGAATTGAGAAACAAAGCCACACGTGCTCATCATGTTCTAAACATAATATCTCCATAAATGTATTTGCGGTCTTAAGGTAACCGCGTTTCATCGCATTCGGCATTTCATGAGATATCAATACTGCTGGAATTTCGTCCTGTTATTAACAACCTCGATATTCAGTTTCAAAGGTATTGACGACCGAGAAATTAAACCATGGCGTCAGTAGACAATACCAAGTCATATATGTATCAAATTCCCTAGATTTTCCCTCAAACCTTGAACCCTGACGAACATCTTAAACCTCGATCTCTAAACAGAACCTTGAACCTTAGAAATGACTTTAAACCCTAAACCCTGTCTCGAAAAGAATGAACCAGGGACACATGACATTTACATGCAACAAAGTAGCTGCTGCTCCTTCACCGATTTGAAAACTCTACATCACGCTGATCGTCCGCCGTTCTACCTCAAGTTTTAACCCTTTATTCCTTGCAAAAAAATCTCTCCGAAAATTGGGCGAATTCATTTGCGGCAACTATTGTATGCACATTACCAGCACCGTTACTTATAATATCATCATGACAATTACGGAGAGTCGAGCCATAAGACTACATACCTTTCGAAGGAACCAAATAGCCTTCCAGTAGATTGGGAAGCACAGAGCGAAAGCGAGACTCCACAGCATCATTGTCAAGAGGCCGACTGCCAGTTCCATCGCCTTTGTTAGCAATCTGATCTCCCAAGTCGCGCAATAACACAAACGAATCCGCCATTGTAACACTAGAGTCACACCTTCAGGATGCAGTTCTGACGCTGATTGCTACCCCATAAGGACTTGTGTGTGATTCACACTGACTCAACATTCAAACACTCGCTCCTCAGGATACTGCATATAGATGGCCGTGACGACTACAACTAGCTACTTGCGCCACAAGCTCCCGTCTCCACTCGCAACCAGTTCGAACTATCAGACAGCGATACATCCGGTTCCATTGATGACATTGGGCTACGTCGTTCCTGCTGATAAATTTGGCAATCAATCATTTCCAAGGATTAGAAATACACAACTGCTCGATTAGCATCAATACCTTCATTTCTGATGAAAATCTAGGAACAAACGTAACTTGCTACTCGTATTCAAAAAATAAGTAAGGAATACCCTACCGCTCATCTACGTCTCGTCTAATCTTCCCATCCACAATGCATTCCGATCCGAAACGCTGAAGAGCAAGTTCCCCGCAAATGCCAAGCTAATGTGTACTCGGCCAAAGATTGATAGCCTTCTCAACGCTCACAGAACCCGTGATCATAACTGCAAGATTTAAAAAATGAGATCCATCCTCTCCCCTCCGTCTTTCTCACAGTCTCAATCGCTGCCCACGAATTCGGCGCAAACGACCCGCGCCAAATTCCGGCCGCGATTCTCAAACTTGTTTCGAAGAAGAGTGAGCTTGAAGCTCTACTCTCGAATTCCGGCCACGGACGTGGCCAAGACATTGTTCATCCTAATTTCATACATTCATCCTCCACGGAACAAAGGCCAAATCTTCGCCTAAAATCGTTGAATGGAACACTAGAACCGTGGTAACGGTCTTGAGACCATCTCCCTTACGAAGCATGTGATTTTGTCAGAGCTCAGAGTGCTTGCGTACAGGGGTTGTGGAGCTGTGGAGTAGGACCGAACACTGAGAGGTTGGAACATTATGAGCAACTGACCATCGAGATTGTCACTCAGGCATCGAGACTAGCTTTGCGATGTCTCTATGGAGATGGCTGTCTCCCTTGGGGAAGAAGCCTGAGGATTGTCCTTTTTGCATTCTGGCATCTGCACCGCCGGAAAGTTGTGGGTCTAAAGTGTTATTCCAGGTTAGCTTATTCAAATCACAGTCTCTTTCTCGGGCATCATCAACTCTTCTTGCTCAAATTTTTTCGAGATATGTGGAAGAGATCGACAAAGATACGAGCAGAAAATCTGTGACATTTTTAATTTTAATTTTGTATGGACCAAGGTTAACTACTCAACAGACGTTGACGTTGGTGTATATGGCCGTGTTGTAATGGAATCTTCTTTCGTGTTTAGAAATTCTGAATTGTTGCTCAAAAATTGTATATGAAAATGGGGGTTTCTTCCAATGCGGACGAATCGCACTCTCCTTATAATTTGTAGACAGAAATTGAACATTAATGGTTGCTTACGATATCCTCTAGATCTAGATTATTTCAAAGCTCGTTCTGATTATTTTTCTCTCTTTTCGAAACTTTTTCCTAGCGTTTGTGATCTTTACGATGACTTGCACTCCTCTTGGGCTGATTGCAAAGCTACTCCACGCTGGAATTTTCTTTTAGCTGTAATAGGGTTTGGTAAATCAAGGATCTAAATTTCTTTTTAAAGAAGAAGCTGACAACGCAACTGAGTGTCAAGCAGTAGTGCAGTAATTCCCTATCTGATGGTTATTTATCTTTGTGATGTCAAGCTATTCATGTGTCTATTTCTAGCATCTACATGTGATAAAATCTGGACCACATTATGCACATGCATCATCGTAGTGTGAGATAAGTGAATGGTCGAATCAATAGCTGTCATCTGAGCTATAGTGTTGTGATGATACGTCGCACACTGAAATTGTACCATCAGGTTTCTCGATTGCCGTGTGTAGCAACATCTTCAGATAGAACCGGATCAATTGTGTCATTCCCGTTGTTCTCTTTCTATTTCACAAAAGCGAATCCCATGGATTGCAGGATGAGGAAATAGTCGTGCTCGTGGATCGCAACCCGTCTGCTTATAGGTGGGTGACTACATCGGTAAGACCCAGTCCCTTAGTTCTTTGCGACCTACACAGCTGATGTGACTCAAACAGAAGATGTAAGACTCCTTCTGATTATTCTTCAGTTTTCTGACTTTTCCAGCAGTAAGAGAACTGAAGTCTTATTCATTTTGATCATACATGCTTAGGTACTGGATAAATGTTATAATTTATCACAGTTTGTCTGAATCCTTTCAATCGATTGGTTCCGCAGGCATTACTTGGTTATCCCGACTAATCACATCAAGACTGTCAAAGATCTTCGACCTGGTGAAGAAGATTATTCGTTGGGTGAGCATCTTAACCTAAATTAGTATTGGCGTAAGCGCTTACCCACTGTTTATCGTGAACTCGAGATTTGGAGACTGTTCAATTTGGCAGCCCTTGTGCAGAGTGTATCTCGTACCTATGCTATTTGGTTTTAGCAGTTTCCCATATGTACAAGCTAGGGAAGTCAACGTTACTACACGACGCGCCAGATGCAGCCAAATACAGGTTCGAAATCAACTGTGGGATTGTTTATTAAACCATGTTCTTTGCGTTTCTTTCTTCCTCTGCTTCTTCTTCTTTTCTTTTATCATTCATTTTTGACCGTAAATGGTGAATTTAACTGCTTTAATCCGCTTAACTGGTTTCCAATGGCAGACCTATTCTCTGTCTTTCGAACATCTACCTAGTATGTGGTATGAAACTCTACTGTTTGTGTTAGAGGGTGCTAAAGTGATAACTCCTTATTCTAAATCAGCACTTTATTTGCAGGTTTGGCTTTCACAGACCCCCCTTTAATAGTGTAGATCATCTCCACCTTCACTGCACGGCCCTTCCTTACAAATCTGTGTAAGAATCTCGTTGCTATGAACTTATGATTGCACTATGATGATTTTACAGAATCTCCGTGGTTGTAAGGAACTTAATTTTGCTTTTCTTCGCAACGACTGAATAGAGAGTTGGTGTTTCCAGGTGGAGGCGCTTGAAGTACGTTAGTGTAGGTTGGTTAGGTGCATATGTTAGTGTTGAGCATGTCCTGCAATACTTGGATACCAACAAAGATACGAAAACAGGGGTTCCTTTGGGTGATGAACCAGAACTGCACGTATGATCGGTTACATTCGGTGATTTTCCTCGAATTCGATCCCAAACTATCAATCCATGGGTGCTTGCCCTAATCCATCATAATGGAATCGAGAGCATTTTCTACTGGTCGTACTCCAGGAGGCAATCCGCCTTGGAGGTCGCCAGCAGTATTTCAAATGGCGTTAGCCATCTGTTCAAGCTGATAATATTGTTCTGTTTATTTCTCACTCTTTTCTGAAACAGTACTGTTTTGCAATATAACATGTTCATTGTCATGATGGGCGAAGGGTATGTGGTCCTATCCAATTATATTAGGTGAGACACTGAAATCCCATAGTTCGTTGTTGCGAAGGAACAACGTTCTGTACATGCGACCTGTGTGAGACTGTGATACTTGACATGGCGCCTTCCGTACACAACCATGGTGTTTCTCGCTTAGAAACCGTTTACAAATAGTCCCATTGCCTTTGCACCTTTCGTCGAGTTCAGCTGTTCTCTGAATTCTTTAGAATTACTACCAACTCTAGTGCAATAAAACCAGCCCTCTAGAAGTTGGAGAACAGTACAAAGTACGCAACATTCGGATGGAAATGATGCAATTGCAACCAGAAGCGAGTATGGCCCACCTTATGCTCTTGTATTGTTCGATCCAAACACAAAGTGTTGTATTGCGATTAGTTTCTTGTTTTTATCCTTGCCCCTCATGGTGTCCCAAACCATTACTGTGGCCCACAATCCCAGCAAATATGACAAACTATCTTTCTATTCTTCCTGTGGTATCCAATAAGTAAACGGAAATAGAAGAACAAGCTCTGCATGATACAGGAGGAAGAACGAATATTTGCAATTTTCTAAGCCTTATTTACTCTAGAACATCTTTTGTGAACCAGTCTAATTCTCACCATCCATTCTTGAAAAGGATGTAAAGTTGGTCCATAAATGCCTACCTGGATCGTTGACAACAAATAAGGTTGTAGTGCACAATGTTACATGTTCTCTACTATCCTAGACAATCAGAAACTAACGACGTGTGAGTAATTTAGTGGAAACTAGTCTACAGCAGCAAGTTTCTAGAGGATTAAATTTAGAAGATGCGGAATTGTTCAGCATTCGAAACTCAGAGTTGGGAATCAATTATTTAAGTCCTTAGAGATCCATATATTACTTAACGACTGCTGCAACAACCAGCAGGGAGTATCTGCTCTCAACTACCGATTTCAAGACAGAATTTTTTGGGCACAAGTTCTGAGAATGTCAGTCTTCCCACAATATTCTGGAAATGCTGTTCTATCTGAAAACTCAGCTCTCAAGAAGACTTGCCAATTTTTCTCTTCAAGCTTTTAGCACTTTTCCGAACTAAAATTATCATCACAAAGAGTTGCTGACTGTACAATAAGACAAGCACTACAACTTTCTTGCTGGAGGCATTTGTGGATGGGGATGAGAATAAGCAGTATTTTTAAAGGTCAACTAAGTGATTCTAGACTCTGAAGAAGAAGTAATAGGTGTGAATTTTTTAAGTAAAAAACTTATTAAATACGGAGAAATACGTCATGTAGAATGTGTGTAATTCTGAAATGTGTAATCCTCCACATTTCCGTTAGAATACGATCATAGAAAGAGAGAGAGAGAGAGAGAGAGATGCAACAACTTGCCTGTTTTGAGTTTTGTAATTTTCATGGTGCTCAAGAGAGCGACATAGGACTCGCAGGGAAAGATCAATCAGTACTTAAGATATGCACTTCTATGTTGTACATGAACTTACAGCAAAAAGTAGCGTAAGGATTCTATCCAGCAAATCTGACGGGTCCTCATTATAATTGTTGTCACATTATGCTTAAGGGTTTTAGTGCTGGAACTTGTCGCAAAAGTCATCAATGAAGTAAGCATTGCAGAATGTGTCCCATGTCACGACAAACAATGAATTTCTTTTTTAGGTAGAATAATATGCATGGCAATTTCTTCTACAACCAATCCAGCAGTTGGGTCATAATTTTTTTTTATCTGGATCTAGTAAACCTCAACAAAGCTGTCCCAGCTGTTAGCTTTACTAGCAGAAATCATACCATCACAACAATAATGTGGAAGAACCATCAACAAAGAGTATATAACTGATGATCACATACTGCAGCAAAATCACAATATTTCCATCAAAATAACACAAACCCATCCCCTACTCCACAGCATGTGCTCATCGAACACCCTGTGTCGTTTCTGAGCTCTAACTTTAGTCACCTCCTATTTACTGAGGCTAAAGTGAGCTGGCGACAATTCTGTCCCAATTCCGCTGATCATCTCATAATCCGCCATGGTGTAGTTGAACATGGCCCCGGGCCAGCTCAAGCTTCCAGCGTCACCAACCTAAAAGTCCACGTTGTCCCACACAGAAGCACCGGAAGGATCAGAGCAAGTGAAAGCGTATCTGCAACGATCACGACTCTGAGTGTCTTTCATGTTCCTCTCTTCTCATTTGGAAGGAGTGATGCTGCACGCTTGTGGGAACATCACCATCTGCATACATTTTTCTTGGTTTACGCATCGATCTGGTTTTGCTGATGGATGGTTCATCTTTGTTTCAATTATCGGGTCTTTTGCTAGCGTCAAATCTGGAAGCTTGTCTGCGCACAAAGCCCTTTCTTGATCAAGATCCTGTTCCATCTTTCACAAAAGTGCTACAGGAGATTATTTCGGAGTGTAATAACTTGACAAACGTTGACAAGGATTCCTCATGCAAGCGTTACTAAGTTTATCACTAAGTGGTGGCGACTAGGGGATGAAGGTGTATCTGAAGCCTGTTACTGAGGCACACACCATTAATGCCACTGCAATTCAGACAATACTTGAACAATGTTCAGCAGAGTTGAATCCTATAGGAGCAGAGATATTTGTGGAGAAATCTGACGGCGGGGTGATCCAGCCTCAACAACGCCTGGATTTGAAAGCGGGTTCATCCCCAAAATCCTAAGTTCCAAGAGTTGGTTTTGTTCAGGGTCCTTCGCAGGGACCAGAGAACTGAACGCGGCTCTTCGTGTATCCAATATCTCTAAAACAATATGCCTCTACGCATCTCTGCTAAATTTAGTATTTCAAAAGAATAAGCTCGTGCGAGAGTATGGCATCAAATCTGGAGTCATGCTAAGATACGAATGAAGGATTGAAGTCATGACGAGGTAAACTGGCTTCCTCCAAAGCCATTCTCTACTGGTTTCGTAAGCGTTTACAGTGCATTTGATAGTGCTGCCACTGTCAGAGCCGTGCTTCTTGAGTGGCTCTAGTTTCCGCTAGAAAATAGGCTAACGATCTAATATGCCTTCCGCACGTCTTCGCCGACTAGAATTTTATCTACTAATTGCTCCAATTAGTAGATAAAATTCTAGTCGGCGAAGACGTGCGGACCGGAAAAGCATTGGACATTATAGAGGTTTTCAGAGACTTGACCTCGGTGCCGACGATGAATACGCGAAGTCGTCAGACATAAACTCGGCTGAGGCTAACAATGGAAGCGATGATATTGCGGATTTTAACGAAAGCCTGTCGAGCAAGAGTGAGAGAGATGCGAAGAATTCTTTCACAAATAACAAGATTTCTTTGTCCAAGCAGCTTTTCCCTTCTGAATTCGAAGCATTCGTGAACCTCAGTAATCTCGCATTGTGTCACCAGGTAGCCACACCGAATGCGGATGTAGAAGACCGGAATTGCAAGGAAGAATTGAAACACGAATATCCATCGCCCACATCTATCACTTGCGAAGCCTCTCCCTCGTCTTTGTTTTCGGACGATGACAATATGTTTTCGACGTTTCAACTATTCCCCATCTTTCCCACACGTGAAGAAGTATCGGCGTTGTGCAAGTCTCCTCAGTCTGTATCGTCCCAGGAGCTCGATGAAATCTCCCCTCTGATGTCGGACAGCTCTGATACTATCGAGAACTATCACAAGCACGAAACCACTTCGACATCCTTGTACAACGACGAGTCGTCGGACTTAGAGTCGCCCATGAAGACCGACAAAGTAGAAACAGGATTCATGCCACAGGCGTTTTCGACATTTAATTACACTAGCAAGGAGATGGGAGCGACGTCTTCAGAAGAAGAAGATCCCGACGAGATGCTCGATAGCAGGACACTGGTTCACGAGGATATCGCCGACCTTTCAGGTTTACGGTATTTTCAAGAAGCGGAGAAGCAGGACCCATGGGTCCAGAAAAATGGTGGGGTAGTGGACAACTCCGACATGAATTCCCTTCTATCCCTAGATTTCAAAGAGCGAGACATAAGGCCATCAGTACGAGACGCTCGTGAGGCAGCAAATTTGGAGACTGTGTTCGGCAGTGCGATGAGACCAAAACGTCAGAACACGTGGGTGCCATATGTAACCGGCCAGGCGCATGGCTTGAAAGACATATTTGCAATAATGAGGCGACGGCATAACAGATCGTCAAGTTTCTCCAAGTCTACTATTGACAAACAGCTTCCGCAGAGACCTCCCATACGGTCAGTAAAATTCGCGCCTGCGTTCGGGCAAGCAGCATCAACCTCAACTTCTATCGCAACCGCAAGCCATCCAAATCGGAAGTTGCCTCTTACGCTCTCCAAACTGGAGCCTGCAGATCTTATGAAAGACGACGATGAGCACATATACCCCAGCGTGAAGAGCTGGGAAGTCGAGGAGGAGGAGGAGGAGAAGGTGGACCACTGCACTATACCAGCATCGTCACGGTCGTGGGGGCTGTGGCGAAGAACGCGAGAAGAGAGGCCATCATCACCAAGTGACAGATCAACAAAGGCCACGAATGCGCTACTGGAAGCGATCGATCCCAACGACGGTCCATTGATCATGACATCACGGCGGCGGTGGCGGAGATCCCGAGAGGGATTGTGTGAGACCACCTCGCCCGGCGGCTCAGCCAAATCTGGGTGGAGTACCAGCTACGAACCGCCGCCGATGAACTTGCGTCATCGAATCATGCAGAACATGCCGTGCGCGGGGAAGCTGTTTTCGTGGCCCCAGCTGTTTGCCCACTTCAAACAGAGCCGGAGCAGGTCACGCAAAGACAGCGACACCGACAGCTGCATTGCAGGAGACGAGAGTTTCGGCAGGTCAGCCAGGCGAGATAAGCAGCAAGTGCGGCGAATACTCAAAGGGAGTCAGAAACACATCTCCAAATTGACGGTAGCTGATATTCTGCGGGAAAATTTTGCAAATTAGGCGGCCTAGGGGTCATGGATCGTCTCCTCCACTGAATGTAAATTATTCAGCATAGCCTCAACTGCAGCTCCTGCCTTGCTTGCAAGTCAGGGGTTAACTTCAACCATAGATGGGAAAAACTGTAACATCTGTCCTAATTGTAGTGTCTCAACAGACAAAATTGGTGCAATTCTTGTAGAATGTTTACTGATGCGGAGAACCCAGATTCAATGCGATTAATATGCTGTTGTCAATTGGAATTTTCCAACAAAAGTAAAACTACTTTCCTTTTTGAGGATCTCGCTCACCTCAGAAAATTTTGGAAAACTGGATTCAGCATGCTGTTGCAAGTTTTCACGGTCTGTTATTACATCTTCCAAAAGATAAGGAAATGTGTTCTGGTGAGTTATGTCCAAGCAATGGTTGCCATGTTTGAAGCAGATTGAATTGGGTTCCTTGGCCTTGTTGCAAATGCTACGTGTCAAGAATGTTGTCAGATCTTCTCCAAATATTTTTTCTATTTTGAATGCAACGTTTGTACAAAAGCTACTTTCCAATTTGTAGAAAATGCTGTATGCAAAGTAGAAGTTATGACTTTGCAGCACTGATGCGAGAATCAACTGTGACATTCGTAATTACAATTGCAAAGCGATGCTTCCTGAAGGGTGACCCAGGAAACTGCAACCTTCGACACACTGCGACTTGAAAATCTCGGTTGAATGCACAGCACCTCATCTCATGCGAAACTCCAGATATTTTAATTCCAAATCATGCCAAACCACAAACCAACACGATGAGTGGGATAGACGAAAACTGCACCCACATTCCACCATGTGTCAATCATCTTGCACAAAATTGTAACCCTCACAGCTTCGAAGGCAATTAAATCAGTAACATTGCCACCTTTGTCCAGACATTTTCTAGGTCCAACTACGTGAAGCTTTAAGGTCCAAGACTAAAGCCATTCTCTTTTATTTCCAATCTAACAGCCCTGCGTCAAAATCACTCTTCAGCTTTCTCCATTTCAAACAGCGCCTTCACCGACTCATAGGACTGCAAAACTGCAACTTTGAATCATTTCGTTTTCCACAAAAATGATCAAAACTGTGAGTCCAAATGCATCGACGCCCTAGATGAAGAAGACGCTGATTAATAGTGCTGTAGCAGCTGCAGCCCTATCTTGCCCTGGGGGTGGAGGACTTCCGGCAGTTCTGGGGATGTTACCAGGAGGGGTCTCTGGAGCTCCAGGCACTGTGGGAGGGATGATACCAGGAGGGGTCTCTGGAGCTCCAGGCACTGTGGGAGGGATGCCAATCACAGGAGGCAAGGCAGATTCAGGGGGCGGTGCATATGGAGCTCCAGCGGGCGATGTGTATGGAGCTCCGATAGGTGCTGCGAATGGCGCAATGAATGGGGCTCCAGCGGGTGCAGCAGATGGAGAAGTTGCCGGTCCAATGAGTGATGCTTGGCCCCAAATGGTGCTATTGAGAATTCCGGAGACGGCGTGGCACGACACCGTGTACACGGTGCAGAGATCAAAATACAGGATTTGCTCATTGTTGATGGAGTAATTGGCGAGGTTGTTGTCGGTGACGAGCAAGGTGTTGTCGGGAAGCAGAGTTGGAATTCGCTGGCCGATGGGGAGCAATAGGAGAGCTTTGTGGGGAAGGTCCGTAGTGGCAAGGTGGTAATTGAGGACTTTGGAGAGGTCGGGGTTGGAGGGCAGGATGGAATCGACGGCTTGGTTGACAGGGGCGAAGATGGTGAAGTTGGAGGAAGGGAGGGTGATGCTACCACTGATGACGGCGGCCTGAATAGCGTCTGCGGACGATGTGAGACCTGCGGCGCGAAGGGACTGAAGTATGCTGTCTACGCTCTCTTGGGCGAGCCCTTGAGCCGTCGCTCGAGTTGCTGCATAGCTGTAGAAGATCAGTTTAATGCAGAGTATGGCATGGCGGAGATGCGTAAGATGTAGCCGTCGACAATCTACTGTGTTTCCACGGTGCCATGTTCCCCCTACGCATTTCATTGCGAACTTTTCTCAAGACTGAGAGAATACAAAAGCCTAGAGTTAACCTGGAACAGACAAAGGCAATTCGAGATATGCTTCAGGAGATCAATTCTTCTCCCAGCTGCTAATGCTTAGTATTCAGAATCAAGGTCACGAGGTGAAAAAACTTCGATTCCGTGCCACTACTATGCATGCGTCAAACCAAGCAACGTTCTAACCAATAACCACAACAAGGTTATACAAAAGCTTGCTCACCAGAAACGAGCTAGTAGAATATGACACAAATTTGAAAGCGGTCATGCACTCATTCATCAATTATTCCGTCGATTCTAAGCCTTCTAATTTTGAATAGCCCAGAACGTGGAAGGCATGCAAGGGCATGCTCTGATCCAACGAGGCGTCACAATCACGGATTGTAGTCTAAGTGAAGGATGATCTCCAGTTCATCAGGAAAAAAGGCAACAGACTGCTCCTGGCAAAAAGATATGCTGCCAGTCGTCCAAAGAGACTAATACTTGTGGCCCAACATGCATAAATAGATTCAATTGACTTGTTAAATAGAATAATCCAGTAGTTTGCTGGAGAAATAATTTTGCAAAACGTGACGGTCGATTTGAGTCCGGACTAATCAGCTTCAGACCAGCTAAGTACAAATCCGATTGGTAAAGTGGTGTCAATTCAAAAAATTCTCTTGTGAAGAATGTGAGTTCAGTATTCTGCGAGTTCCTACTTACGTCTTGATCATGATTTCAAACACCGAGTAAATGTCTAGAGAACCATAAATGCTTCAGACATCTGCAAACAAATCAGATGCCTCCGGGTACTGGGGGCAAATAAAGAGCATGTTTACGAAAATATACAATGAAGAACACAGTCTAACCGGGGCTATTGAAGTAGAGCCAGCAGCTCTTGTTCGACTTCTGACCAGCTGTGAACTCTGGTGATCAATGGGTTGGTTGGACCTTGCTCGGTCTTGCTCCAAGGGTAATTCCCGTGTAAGTCGAACAGAAGAACCTTGATCCCATGTTCAGCACACTCCAAAGCGTACCGTGGATTATCATCAATCAGCACTTCCACTCCAACAGACCTGGCCACCAGCTCATTCACGACATACTCTCTATCAGAGCTTCATTCACGCCTAGAAATAAAGTTCTTAAAGAATGTAAAGTATATATATATATATATATATATATATAAGATTTTTTCTTCTTTTTAATTCGTTTTTTTATTTTTATTTTTGTTTAAAGCGCATAAAAACAAGTATTGTAAGTTAAAGCAAGATTGCAAAAAGACATGACAATTACACCACTTCTGATCAGATGGACTTTCAGAATGAGAGATAGAACATAACAGCATGGAAGAGAACAATCAAAACAACAGAACTGAACCTATTCCAATCACTCCGTATCCGTGCTGAAACATCAAACTAACAATGGTTTATATGAAAACAAAGTCGATGCTACGGGATTGAGCCGTACCTGCAGAACTCGGACTTAGACCGTGCCTCGCCCTCTAAGGCGAAATGATTTCCAAAATGGACTTCCTTAAAAGATGCCATTGTAATGTTGATTGATCCAATCCAAGGTTGGCTGCCTTATGACATGCTGTCGGGATCTGCAGATGCACAACAAGATCACTTGAGACTTGTCCAAAGCGCTAAGCACCAGCAATCCAGTCAAAGATTGGCGACAAGTTTCTCAAAAGTACCAGAAGATTCCACCCAATAATCCAAGCAATCCCACCGAGTATGTCAACCAGAGTGCCCAACAATATACTGGAACCAGGATTCGAAACTTACGTAACGACGACAATGTGGCAGTAGAAAGACAGATTCTGGAGGGCCTCATGTGCCCCAGGAATTGGTGAAATTCCCCTATTGAAATGTTCCGACTCAAAGAAGGCATGAACGCGATCATTGACTGCATTCCATAGGCATGAAGACGATGAAAAATGATCGGACTCTGAATGCTCTACGCTGCTCAACTTGAAATAAGCAAAATCACTATTTCCGCTCCGAATTCCATAGCCTAAAGAAAATCATCTACGATTTACGCCAGACATAACATGCTATACGTATCATGAAGAAATTCCCTCGAGGAGCAACTCTGGCATCAAACAATTGAGCAATTGAACATAACAAGTTAAAAATGCCCGAATTGGAAGACTATTTACGAAATAGTGTGTGACCGAACTGGGTGAGTGTGAAGCTAAAATTTACCTACTGCCTGTGAGCATCTCCAGATCTGGAATACAGAGCACGGATTTAGAATCAGTACACAGATTTATTAGCAGAAAAAACAGGTGCCTGTTGCGGTCTGCAAGCGTAAGCGTGTTGTAGAGTTCAGTGTACAAGCGTACCCAGAAAATTTACTGCCAGAAACACTTCAGTAAGAGCAGCAAGTACCTACCTTCATGAAATCGTACACATGATACTCTGACTCCTTGTGCTGCTGCAAATATTCTTCAGCAATAAAAGTGTTCAAACCGGATAGAAAGCTGCCCAGTACTGCAAAAAACACTATCAAGAATGATTATAAACCAATCTAAATTCCACTTGCCGAAGTCAAGTAAATGTGCATAAGCCACATCAAATTGCCTTCATAAATATAAGATCCGCAGACAAAAGATTTGTGACCTTGAACTGGCCCAAAACGTTCGATGGAAAAGGCTGAAAAACGTAGCATTACAATCGTGTGAAGAAAGGATTGTAGTAAATTCACACCTTCGTCAACATCCACACCGACACGCAGCAGTTTGGAAGGCGCATTAACTTTACCGATAGCACCAAACTTATTCTATTGATCCGCATTCAGCTCTGCACCTTGGTGAAGACTACACTTTGATTCTGCAATTTGAGAATCTGTGATGGTCGGTAAGCAGCCCTGCATACTCACTTTGTCCACCTTTTTCAAGTTCGTATGCAGAGCCGCGGGCACTGCATCTGTGCGCCTTCTGCTATCACCACATCGCAAGTTGGTCCACTTCCCGCCACAACATGACCGTAAAGGATACATTCGCAAAAAATCTCCATTAATCCTAATTCTGCTTACTATTCTGATGGACCGTATTAAAAGCGGCCGCAACGACGCACGACCATCCAGCCGCCTTGGCGTCAGTGTCGCTGCTGTAATTGCATTCCCCAAGCATCCGCAGTGAACGTGATTGCCCATTATCTGCATCTTTCTCGAACACGATAAATTTGCCAACCACTTGCAAATTGTTCTGCGTCAATTCGCACGCCGGGTTTTCTCCTGAAACTTACAAGAGTTCCCAACATGTTCCGTTCAATCAATTGATGCACCGATTGAACGTAATGCCCACAGCAGTCTCAAAGCGTTATCTGCCAACAAAACTTCCTATACACTTCCTGCAACCACACACACTCTGCTAATCAACATTATGAGCTAAAAATCACCAGCAAGCTGTAAGCACGTTGCAATTGACTGTGAGGGTCGACAGACTACCTGACCTTCCCGCACTGAAAACAGGAATCCATCGGTAACTATGTGCAAAATTGAATTACACGAAATTTCTGGCATTTCCCGGGATTCCGAGACTCCCATTCTCAATTCCCCACAAATTGTAGAATACTTGAAGCACCATTCTCAGCTGCAAAACCAAATTTCTTACAGAAAAAACTAAATTTGCACATGTGATAGGATAACTTTTGTCGACAAGCTTCACACAGTGACCTCGTGCTCTACCAGACACACATGGAAAGGAAAGGAGGGTCCCCACGACCACCACTAGCCGCCACCACACCCTGATCAACACTCTGCAGCTCAAACCAACCCACAGCTCACACTCACCTCCACAACAAAAAATTAGATTAAAATTAGATTAAAATTAAAAGCACGCACACACTACAACCCAGCTCTAAAAATCTCACCAACTCAACAAAATGCCATCTCAAATCTCCAAAAAAACATACGTTCCAAAAAAATTCCAATTCTAAAACCCCACAAAGCACTCAAAAACCTACGAAACTCAACGGCTCCACACCTCAACACCACCAACTACGAGCCAATTCCCGCTGAGATCGACTGCAAGCTACAGCAATCCCTTCTATAGTCGAGTGAAGCCAGGCCAAACAACGCATCAACCACCAGTAGCGGCGCAGTAAAGAAGGAATGAACTCTCTGGAGATAGAGAAAGAGAATAGTCATGATGATGAGCAGCATGTCGTCGCTGCAGCAGTGAGGCCTCGGGCGTCGCAGCGATTGCGGGGAGGCTACTTCCAATCCCAACCAAAGTATCTATCCATCCCAGCTGCGGCCGGGCCGCAAAGGGAATGGAAAAAATCATCATTCCCTGAGACACGGCCAGGGGAACCGTAGTTGTGGTGGAAGGGGACCAGCGTGCTTTCACGACACTTTGCAGGTGCGTCCTCCCAATTGCTAGCTCGCAGCTCCGCCATCACCGGGCTTGTAGATTAGCTTCCACAAGCCCTAATAAACAACTCGCTGAGTAGGGCAAGCCGATGGGTGGTGAGAATGAGCGACGCCCCCCCCCCCTTATTCTCTCATTCTCACCACCCGTCGTCTTGCCCTAATTCATCATCCATCCGTAGTATCTTCATCCATGGAATCTTCATCCTCTCCTCAACCAGTCCACCTCCCCCGAACCAGATCCTATTCATACTGACTTCGTGAGCCTTCAACGGTGAGTCTTACCGACTGTTTAAAATCGTTTCCGGCCACCTTCCTCATCCTTGGTAATGGTGTTGGCTTAGAGAAGCCATTGACATAGCAAAAATTGGGGTACAGGTAGTACATTGTTGTGTTAAGTTTTTTGTCATTTCATAGCCACCATTTACGTTGCTTGTAACAATAAGAAGAAGATTCATAACTAGATATGTGTGCAATTAAGTATGTAAGTCTATGTTTTGAATTTGTTTGTATGTTTAAGGCATTATGAAAATCATTTGTATCCAGGATCTACAATCTATGATGCTTGCTTTCATCTTGGCATCCATATTATCCTTTCTTGCCCAATCATGTGTACCCATGTAACATTTGTTAATTACTTTTTTTAATTAGTAAATGTCAATGAACATATATTAATTTTTGAAAATTGAAGGTTCTCAATTATGCACCATAAAACATAATTTGTTCTTAAATTTTTCATTAATTATTAGAGGTTTTGATTTTTTAAGAGATTAATTACTAAAAGAATATTATATGTATAATAATACAACAAGATATTAATTTATGTAATGTTGTAAAAAATCAAAGTCCAATTTTTTTTCTTTAAAATGTAATAAAAATAAAATAGCATTATTTCTTCCTTATATCTCTAGGAGAATGTCAAAT